GGGGGGGGGGGTTAGGGTTGGGCTTGGGGAAGGCGTACATGCGTCGATGGTGGTCCAGTTCCAGAGCATCTGGGTAGCTTGTTCTTAGTATTGATGGTGTTCGATATTGGGCAGCAGAGAAAGGGGATTTGGGGGTCTTACGGAGATCTGGCAGCTGGATGAGCCCATGTCCATGTCCATGTCCATGCTGGAGGATGCGGTGCTGCTGCCCATGGCGGCGGTGGTGGTCGGCGACATGGTCATGGTCATGGTCATTATCATGTCCATGGTTGTAGATGTGGATGTGGGCATATCCATATTGACGATGGCTTGTCTGGGTACAAAGACGGAGAGGATGAGCAGATCGTGTGTCCTGGAGACAGTAGGGGGTCAAAGGTTGATATAGCCAGTTTGACCCAAACCACCCACGCAGCTCACAACGAGCCCAACCCATTGCCTGACCCATCAACCATAGCAATAGAAACTCGCTCATCGTGCGCAGATTCCAAGACTTTGGCAACACGATGCCCACTCGCTACCCCCCTGACCCGGCCAATGGGGAAGATGCACCGCGCGCAGAATTGAGCAGATTTATGCACTCCCCACCCCCGGGGGCCCTCTCAGACCACGACCGTCCACAACATCAAATGAAAGGATTTGCAATGCAGAAAGAACACGTACTGGAGTCTCCAAGAAACACACCTAACACCGCCCATGGCATTCATTTCACGGGGTATATACACGAATATTTCGCCTGCCATGCTTTTTCATCGCAACGCAACCAAATACAATACAAAACAAACACAAAATCACCGACGAGCCGACTTCTTGATCACCCCCTCCAGAATCTCCCGGATCTGCTTGCACCCGTCAATGCCCACCGCCAGCATGGTCTCCACATACGAGCAGTGCACCTTGGAGTCCATCGTCAACATCGACACCTTCATCTCGTCCTCGTCATCGTGGATCATCGCCGCCTCCCCGACCGGCACCGTCGTCGTCGTCCCCACCGTCAGGAACGGCAGCTCCTGCTCCTCCGGCAGGGACAGGTCCAGCAGGGGGTCCAGGAAGTCGTTGTTGGGGTCGCGGGGCGTGGACGCGCTACCGCTCATGCCGGCCGTGCAGGCGCACAGGAGCCCCGGCATGGGAATCCCCGCGTCCACCAGGGCCAGCGTGCAGGCGTTGACGGCCGCCGCCAGCAGGGAGCCGTCCGCCGACAGCACCGAGACGTGGATGCTGATCGTGCTGTGCGGGTAGAGGTAGGTGTGCAGGTGCGACTGGAAGGCGGAGCGTAGGATGGTCCCGATGCGCGAGGATTGTCTATACACAGATAGAAGATAACGAGTTAGCAACGCTGATATATTGTATAAATATATCCTCCGTAGGGACTCCTTACTTGTCACTTCCTCCCGCCCTGCGCTTCCGATCCACCCCCGCGAACCCGGCGACGTTCACATCCACCTCCACGACCGCCCCGGAGGAGCCCGCTGAGCCGCCGGAGGCATCTCCGCGACGGCCCTCGGCTGGCCCGTGGACCGAGCAGATGATCGCCGTGTTGCCCATGGCGAGGTATGACGAGCCCGAACTGGCGGGGTTGGTGGAAATCTGGGCCTGAAGGAGCCGCAGCTCGTTCCAGCGTCGGCCATCCAGGCGTAATTTGGTGAGCGGGTATGTGGTAGACGTGTCGAGAGGCATTTTGGTTTGTGTGTGTGTGTGTGTGTGTGTGTGTGTGTGTGTGTGTGTGTGTGTGTGTGTGTATGTATGCTCAATGGCGTCGTCTATTTCTGTGTGGGTTGCGACGGCGGGGAGAGAGAGGTGGGAAGAGCGACTTGCGAAAGTCCGATTTTGCTCCCCGCACCAACGTGTAATTCGACTTTTGTGGCTGCGACGGAGGGGCACAGTTGAGATTGGGAGATCGGCGTAATAACCGTGCAAGGATGAAGTTCCTTCGAAGAGTAGGTCGAGAGAGTGGTATTCAAGGGCGCGCGTAGGGCAGTAAAGGGTGAAATTGGCGATGGGATTGAGGTTGCGGAGGTTGACTTTTCGGCGCCGAATTATTCGAGTCTGATCAGCTCGTTGCCCAATCGGGAAGCCGGCCAACCCAGCCCTTGACTGGACCAGTGACTGCCATCCTCCGCCGTCTCGCGTCTCCGCACTGCGGCTTCTCCAACTACCTACCCTTCTTTCAACCTGCCTTTGGTTTCATGTCGGTAACAACTCATTTATCTGGCAGTCGGCCTAAACATGGGCTCAGGATGGGAGCCAGGGGACTCGGATGCCACTACAATCGGCACAGATGACGATGACCTTGACACCCCACGTCCCTCCGCCCGCCTTGCTCTCGCTCGTATGTCTCCGCATTCTGTTCGGGGTAATTAACCTGGCCTCTCTCTCATCTTGTGAATGCAGGTCAAACCTCGATCGCAGGCGACAGAACACCTCGTCCCTCGACGAGCACGAGCACACCGATCAAGCAGCAGTCCTCGCCTCCTGAAACCAAATCCCCCGTCGCCGTCGTGGACCTCGCCGGCGACAGTGACAGCGACGATGCACCATCCTCCTTCAACGAGGGCGCGGCCGCCTACGAGGAGTTCAAGAACCGGAAGTCCCTAAAACGCAAGCGGCACTCTACGAGCGCGCGGAAGAGCCACGTCAACAAGCCCCTCAAACTAGAACCTCCCACCACCAGCTCCTTCGTTGGCCGACTCCCGAAACCGAATGCAAGAGCCAAGCCGCGGCGGCCGCTGAGAGAGTATGGCGCAGAGTATTCCTCCGAGGATGAGTTGATGGAATACACCCTCCCCGACTATTTGCAGCGGCGTCGAGTGCAGTTCGACCGCCGGATGGAACATCTCAAAGCGTCGGGGTTGAAGTTGCCTCCCAGCTACGATCAGGTCGAATTCTCTGACGACGAGCGGCTTGAATTCCTGCAGGAGAAGCCGGCCTTTGAGCATCTGAAGCCGTGTAATCACTACAAGGATATCACGCTGCCTTACTCCCTGGGACTGATCCCCGCCCCAATCGCGCAGTGGCTGCGTCAGTATCAAGTAGACGGCGCCGCCTTCCTACATGAGTTGTTCGTGTACCAGAAGGGCGGAATCCTCGGGGACGATATGGGCTTAGGGAAGACCGTGCAGGTGATTGCCTTCCTTACGGCTGCCTACGGGAAGACGGGGGATGAAAGAGATGCGAAGCGCATGAGAAAGATGCGCCGCAGTGGACAAGACTGCTGGTATCCGCGGACGTTGATCGTCTGTCCGGGGACCTTGATCAAGAACTGGATCTCGGAGCTGGCCCGCTGGGGCTGGTGGTCGGTCGATACCTACCACGGTGACAGCAAGGAGCTCGCGCTCCAAGCCGCAAGGTCCGGACGAATTGAGATCCTGATCACCACCTACAGCACCTACCTGCACAACAAAGATGCCGTCAACATGGTGGACTGGGATTGCGTCATTGCGGACGAGTGCCATATCATCAAGGAGCGCAAGTCGGAAACGACCAAAGCGATGAATATGATAAACGCGCTCTGTCGGATCGGCCTCACGGGCACCGCAATCCAGAACAAATACGAGGAGCTTTGGACGCTGCTGAACTGGTGCAATCCGGGCAAACTGGGTCCGGTGACCGTCTGGAAGAAGACGATCTCCGAGCCTCTCAAGCTCGGGCAGTCGCACGATGCCACTGTGTACGAGCTCCGTAAGGCCCGTACGACGGCCAAGAAGCTTGTCGAGAATCTCCTGCCGCAGTTCTTCCTCCGGCGCATGAAGACTCTGATCGCCGACCAATTGCCCAAGAAAGTCGACCGGGTCGTCTTCTGCCCGCTTACCGAGACGCAGGCCGCGGCCTACGAGAACATCCTGGAGAGCGAGATCGTCACATACATCAAGACATCGACCGATCCCTGTGACTGCGGCTCCGGGAGGAAATCTGGCTGGTGCTGCCACCAGCTCCTGCCCTCTGGCGCGAAATGGCAAAGCTACGTGTTCCCGGCCATCGCCGTGCTCCAGAAGCTCAGCAACCACCTCGCCATCCTCATCCCCCAGGGTGGCGATCCCGCGGAGAAACAGGAGAAGGACAAGGAGATGCTCGAGCTGGCGGTGCCGGAGCAGTGGGAGAAGCTGTACCGCTCGCGGGACTCGATCGTCAACTTCGCCAACCCGGAGTTCTGCGGCAAATGGAAGGTGCTGCGGCAGCTGCTGAAATGGTGGCACGCCAACGGCGACAAGGTGCTGGTGTTCAGCCACAGCGTGCGGCTCCTCAAGATGCTGCAGATGCTCTTCCACTACACCAGCTACAACGTCAGCTACCTGGACGGGTCGATGAGCTACGAGGACCGCACGAAGGTGGTGGACGATTTCAACTCGGACCCGCGGCAGTTCGTCTTCCTGATCTCGACACGCTCCGGCGGCGTGGGGCTCAACATCACCTCGGCCAACAAGGTGGTGATCGTCGACCCCAACTGGAACCCTTCGCACGACCTGCAGGCGCAGGACCGCGCCTACCGCATCGGCCAGTCGCGCGACGTCGAGGTCTTCCGCCTCATCTCCGTCGGCACCATCGAGGAGATCGTCTACGCCCGCCAGATTTACAAGCAGCAGCAGGCCAACATCGGCTACAACGCCAGCTCGGAGCGCCGCTACTTCAAAGGCGTGCAGGAGAACAAGGACAAGAAGGGCGAGATCTTCGGGATGGACAACCTCTTCGCCTACCGCACCGACAACATCGTCCTCCGCGAGATCGTCAACAAGACCAACGTCGCCGAAAGCCGCGCCGGCGTCCAAGTCATGGACATCGACCTGACCGCGATGGTGAAGGAAGAGGAATCGCACCCGGACCATCCCCTCAACAACACACCCCAGCCCGCCCACGAAGACACCACCACCGACGCCGTCATGAACAACCTCGCCGCCATGATCCGCGGCGAGACCGCCCCGTCATCAACCCGCCCCGCCCACCCAGCCCAAAACACCCCGCCCCGCCACGACCCAATTCAAGCCATCCTCGCCAACGCCGGCGTCGAATACACCCACCTCAACAACGAAGTCATCGGCTCCTCCAAGGTCGAGGAACGCCTCAGCCGCCGCGCCCAGCTCACCGCCGACGACCACCGCGCCCTCGACAAGCGGGTCTTCGCTGCCGCATCTCGCAACTCGCAATCCCAGTCCCAATCGCAATCGCAGCTCCTACTGTCTTCGCAGCCATCCGGTCAACAGCAGCCTTACGTCAAGTATAAATTCCACCCGCCGCGGGGGGTCATGAAGCGCCAGTTCTGTAGTATGGCGCGGCGGTTCGGGTTTGCGAATGCGACCGAGTTCGCTTTGGTGGTGGAGGGCATGACGCAGGCGGAGCGGCGGGCGTGTTTGGAGCGGTGGTATGCTGAGCGGAGGGAGGAGAATTTTACTGAGGTGAAGGCCGAGGTGAAGGCGGAAGGTGGTGGTGGTGGTGGTGGTGAAGGAGATGGGAGAGGAGGCTGAACAGGTTTGGGATTCTTACACTAGCTGGCATCTGGGTGGGGGTTTTCTTCTGTCCATTTTCAAATTGCCCCTTGGTTTGGTACTGGTAGGTGATTGGGGACAACTCTTTCCAGGCTTCGATTTATCTATCGGGTTGGAATACATCATAGGTCAGGATATGCAACATCTACAAGTAACAACCAAACGATACCCCCCTTCTTTCATGCAGACACATATTACATGAGTTACGGTTTTGCAAATTGAGATATTATATTATTCAGTGGGCTGAAGTCTATGGTGAAGGCTGAAGAAAATAACAATAATAAGGAAAAATGGTCGCTGCTCACCCCTCCCCCACCCCATCAGCCTTCCTCCCAATGTGTACGAAACATGGACATGTATCCACATAAGAGTGGCTGACCTATGTTCTGTTCCCTTTTCCCTTTTCCCTTTCCCTTTTTCTTGTTGAAACTTTTTCTTTGAAAACGCATGTTCCGTACTATGAAATCAATCGGGTATCCAGTGTAGTATGACGCCGAAACGGTAGTGAGCTCGTCCTGCAAGCCGGTGTTGAACCATAATTATAGGCTGTTGTGCAGGTCTTTTTTTTTGGAAGGTATGTCCACAACACCCGACTTGCCCTACCCGTTCCCTTCCTATGTCCAGTCGCTGTGCGACCATCCCTTGCTCGAGTTGCGGATGGGAAGTTCTTAATGGACTTAACGACGAAGTCGATCGCTCAATTCTCCTTCGCATCCACGTAAGCGTCGATATCTTCGGTGCGCGAATCCTTGCGCTCAACTGCTTCCACGACTTCGGGCTTGGGCTGGTCCGGAACTGGCGCCGCCCCGTTAGCCACATCGTCAGTGGGGACGGGTTCGTGCGACTTGTGCGGGGGGATCTGATATTCGGAAGAGTCCGTCTGGCCGTCCAGGATGGGTGCGATAGCGAGAATCTGCTTGGCCGCAAGCTCAGGGTTATGCGCGTCACTACTCCATTATTAGTCTCGATTCCAACCACGATCGACGTGCGCAAAGCCCGGCAACTTACACATGCGCATTGATGATCCAGTCCAAGTCTTCCTCGCCCTCGTCCGGGCCGTTGGGCCCACCCTGCACCCGGCGGAAGAGTCGGGGGTGCCATTCGACACCTTCGTCGACCCGCTTGGCCGCCTCCTCCCGTTGACGGTCCTCGATCTTGGTCTTCTCATCCGTGGCCGCCTCGTGGTTCCGGGCGATAATGGCCTTGACGGTGCTGTGCCATAACCGCTGGGACTCGCGCTCGCCTTGCTGCTCAAGAGGCCGGGTCAAGGGGGGAGTGTGCTTGGCGTGGGTTGCATCAAAGAGAAGCTCCCTCTTATGGGTCTGCTTCGGTTAGAATGACAGCTCAAGGTGGGAAAGGGGCTGGTCGCAACTTACATGCACGTCCTTGATGTACATTTCACCATTCCAGAGTCCGGTCAGCTCGTAGTAGACCTCCCCAGTCTTCTCGTTCTTGATCGTTCCGCCAATGGCGTTGTAGGTGCCTGAGAAGTAACCCTTGGTCTTGAACTCGATGTCGGCGACAAGGTTGTTCTCCGGGCAGCGCACGTAGCTGTGGTCACCAAGCTCATACTTCATTTTTCCGAACAGGATACCGCGAGCGTACATGTTGGGTTGCGTCAGGATGCTGGGAACACGTCAGAAAAGCTCCAGCCACTCCCGAGCTTTTGAGGACCACCTACTATCGTTCGCCCTTCTCCTTATTTTGGCCGCGGTTCAAGAAGCGCAGGATCGCAATGCCCTCCATCATGCTGGCGGCCGAGTTACCGAGGAACTTGCTGCGCGGCTTCAGGGTGCCGTCAATGCGGATGTTGTGTTCGGGGGCCATGAAGAAGTAGCTCGACTTGGGCGGGTGGTGCGAGGTCTGTTCAGAGATATAGTATCCGCGGGTTCCGTCGGGGTAGTCCCAGTAGCAGGTGTAGGTCTCGCCCAGGATCGGGTTCAGCGGCTTCTTCACACCGCTGCGGAAGGGGGTCAACGGGGTCCGGAAGCGTTGGAAACAAATGAGACGAAGAGTGGGAGGACATACGGTGGTTTGATGTGCCATCCGCTCAGGTAGAACTTGACCACGGAGACGAAACGTTCGAGGGGGTCATCGATATCGGGCATAGGCAGCAGGGTCTCGGGGTGTGCCATGAAACTGATCGGAGGATCAATGGAGTCAGCGACCGCAATTTCGTCACAGATATCATCTCCACCTACTTTGTAATGCGCTCCAGCATGGATCGGGGTTCGAGGATGAAGGTAGGCAGGACGACCCGACTGAGATCTGCTCCCGGTCGGAGCTGCGAGATAATGTGGGAGAGGACTAACAGGGCCGGTCAGCAACAGCAAAGCCATAATTGTCGCGAGAGATTATAGATGTAAACCGAGTTCTAGCCTATGGATTCCACCTTTGCATGCATACAACTTCTTTTCAGAGGTGGGGAGAGGGGCTGATCCATACGTACCGTTGCCCTGATCGGGCTCGACAATCTCATCGTCCCCGCTCACATTCTCAGGCTTCGGCTCCTCATGGGAAGACCTGCTACCTGAATGGAAGAAAGAGCCCCAGTCAGCCGACATATTGGAGGGTGCGTAGAAGCAGATCAATAGGGGAAGAAGTGGTGTTGGGGCTGAGAGGAAAGCAGGAGAGAGTAAAGGAGGAGAAGGGAAAGAGTGTGAGAGTAGGAGGGGAGGAGGAGGAGAAAATATGACGTGGGGAGGAGGAGGTAGAGAGAAGGAGGGGATCTCAACCTCCGGGTCAAAGCCACGGCAGCAACAATCACATTCAACCACGACTACTAATACTCACTGGTAGGACTAGCCACCGACGAACGACGTCGGATATGGGGAATGGTTATGGTCATGACTACCCGTAGATTTTGGAGAAGGCTGTGAATTTGCAAGTTGATCTCTTCCTTGTCCGACAGCCAAGCTATAATTGAGGATGACAAGCCAAGAGTGAAAGAATAGAGATAGAAGGGGAAAGGGGAGGGAAAAAAAAATAATAAATATTCAGAAGAGCAGAATCTCCTGCTGCAGGCTCAGGTAGTGAAGAACTGCCACTGATTCCAGTGTTCCGTTAGACCCTTTTTCTTCCCTTCTCGTTTTCGTATGTCTCGTCCCTTTTCGTATCTAGTTCGAGCAAAAAGGTGAAATTAATTTCAATCAAATCAATGGTGACAGCCGCTCGGCTAGGGTGCTGGGTGCTCTGCGCCACAAGCCACGATCAGGTCAGAAGAGGCGGTCTCAAGATGTTCGTCTGAGAAATTCTGGTGAGCCAGAGAGACACCGGTGAAGAGTCTACTGTATTTATATGAAATCCGTCTCTATGAGGGAAGAGGGGCGATCTTTCGGTGTATGTGTATCGGATGACGTTGATCGTCTGCCTTGCCTTGTCTCAAGGCTACAATTTATACTCTTTGGTGGTCTTTTTTCGCCTCCAGATGAACGAGGTCCTACTATTGCGGTCGTGTTGATATCCCGGGTCTGGAGGGGAAATGGGATAACGAATTTTTCTCTAGATCTCGTGGCCATTCGAAGGCTTGGGATTTTCTGCACCCCTCCGGGATTGCTGTTGCTGCTGCTACTTTGGCTTTGGCTGCTTGCTTGCTGCACCTGGTAAACAAGAGGGGCGACCGGCTTGGCGGGGTGGGGGTGACTGGGAATGACAGCCCAAAGATGTTTCAAGTGTCGACCTCATTGCAGGAGGAGTCATGGACTTGTGTTCCATTGACGTCTATAGTCGACCGTTTTATAGCCTTGGTCCGGAGGGCCCGGGGTCGATCGCTGCTTAGCCGTGAGGGTATCTCAAACCTGAGCCACACTCGTCAATCCTGAGGCAGCATGGCCTCATCGTTCCCCTCACCTTCCCGTGATCATCTCCCCAGAGGCTCCTTCGGGATGGTGCAGCATGACGTGAAAAGCACCGGGTCAGATGAGCAGCGAAGGGTTCTGGGATCAGTCGTCCGTCTTCTGACTGGGTCTTTTTGCATCCCTTGCTGTGGGCGATATTCTATACACCTGTTTCAACAGAGGCAAAAAGCCGACTGCATGGGAGTTTCACGAGCAGTAAGGCGACAGATAGCATAGCATCATTGCTTGTAGTTAGTTAGTTAGTGTAGTACGAGTACGGAGACAATGAGTATCTGAATGAAATGATCAACAACCGCCGCGACGGGGAAGCTGTCCCAAAGCGGGCTAGCAGCACCGGGCGTGCTGAGTCAGCTTGGATGAGCACAAAAGCGGCCTCGTCGCAAGCTTCCCGCTGGACGCAAACTTCCTTCCATTCGCAATTCTTCAGGGCTGCGGCCCGGGACTATTTTTCAGCAACTGCAACTGTAGATCTTCTGCGTAAATGAGCCACAAATAATGAGAGGCCACCTTGAGGTATGTATTCAAGACATCGCAGTTGTGTTTTTCTCCCTTCCATTGCACCTCTTTCTGCAGCAGCAGCATGATGAGTTTATCTTTATTGGAGCTGTCCGAGCCAATTATGCGGACAAATCTTTTATACGCATTTTTTACCTGATTCTGCTTGTTACTTTTCTACTTGTCATTATCACAACTTGTCGGATGGATTGTTCTGACTGTGAGTAGACATTACAGGGCCCTAGTGAAAACATCTTTCAACCTCCTTGATTTGGACCGACACAGAGAACAAAGCAACGACCAGACCACAACAACAGCAGATTTCCTGAAGAAACTCAACGCGTAAAAACAGAAAAAACCCACGTGGACCCACTTCACCAGATAGGCTAGCCTCATAAGATACACTGCATCTTCCTACCTACCTTTATCTTCCTACTCTTATTCACTACCTACCTTCTTATCCACTACCTACCTACCCTGCCCATCATGGCCTACGACCCGCGACTAGTATCCTCAACAAGCACCAGTGCAGGCACTGCGTCCACCACCACCACCACCACCACTACAACAACCTCCGCACCACCCCCACCCCCACCGCCCCATGAGCACCAAGCACAACCACAGCCACAATCCCAAGAACAACAAGAACCAATCCACCAAGAACCAATGCGCGCCACCACGCGCTCAACCTCCAACACAACCACCACAACCGACCATGCCGCCGCGCCCGAAACCCCCAGCACCACCTCCAGCGAGACAGACAGCTACAAACTCCGCTTCTGCACCGTCTGCGCCTCGAACCAAAACCGCTCAATGGAAGCGCACCTGCGGCTCTCCACCGCGACCCCGTCGCCCTTCCCCGTGATCTCCTTCGGGACGGGCTCGCTCGTCCGCCTGCCCGGGCCGACGGTCACGCAGCCGAACATCTACCACTTCAACACGACGAGCTACAGCCAGATGTACGAGGAGCTGATGGCCAAGGACGAGCGGCTGTACCGGTACAACGGCCTCCTCAACATGCTGGACCGGAACCGCAACCTGAAATGGGGGCCGGAGCGGTTCCAGGACTGGGTGCCGGGGCTGCCGCGCGTGGACCACGTCGCCAAGGGGGACAAGGGCGCGCGGGGCACCGAGGGCGGCGTCGTCGACGTCATCATCACCTGCGAGGAGCGCTGCTGGGACGCCGTCGTCGACGACCTCATGGCCAAGGGCAGCCCGCTAAACCGGCCCGTGCATGTGTTCAACGTCGACATCAAGGATAACCATGAGGAGGCGCTGGTCGGCGGCAAGGCGATTCTCGAGCTGGCCAACCGCTTGAATGAGGCGGCTAGGCTGGAGCGGCGGGCTGCTGCCGTCGCGGAGGCTGGGGCTGGGGAGGCGGCGGCGGCGGCGGCGGCGGAGGCGGACTGGGAGAATGGGCAGGGTGAGGCGAGAAGGAATTTCGATGAGCGCGTGCCGGAGATCCTGGCCGCGTGGCAGGAGAAATGGCCGCATTTGCCGGCCCTGTGGACTCTGGCGTGGTTGTAGGAGTTTTCGGAGACGAAGAGGAGGGGGTGATAGAGCTTCGTTGCTTGGCTTCGTGATATCATATGATAATACCTATTCATTTGGCCTTTCCTGCCGGGACTCATGGCTTGACTTGACTGTAGTTTTGTAGTTCTTGAGACTAGTGGGATCGCAAAGTTGGGGAGTGCTTGTCCTTTGTGGCTATAGCAGGGGCCCGGTACGTGAAGCTCTTGGTCGGCGTTTCATAACCAAGTACTCCGTACAGTACGGTACAGTCACTTCCCTTTAGCTCAGCTACGACTTAGTCTGACCACAACCACCATGGCCTTCAGAATGACAACATACTCTAAGACGGTAGAAACCTTTCTTTCCCCATGGATCAAATAAATGCTCTAAATTGACTTTCATGTCATGTCTCCAAACACCAACTAGTTATCATACAAGACCCAACGACAACAACAATAACAGGATATCACAACCTATCTGTATCTGCAAAAAACTGCACATGCTGTATATTGCACTGCCCGCCCCCCATCAATGAAACCCCAAAGACGCCGCTATCACTCATCCCATGCAGCGAAACCCCAACCGTTAACACCGGAAAACAAATGAAAATCAAAGTATGCTGCTAACAACCCTAGCACGGAAGAACAAAGCCCACTGACTTAGAGGAAGGTCGCACCTAGAAGGTACTACTGATATAGCTCCCCCCGTTGGCCGGCGGCGCGTTCCAGCTCCCTCCGCCGACTGGCCTTGCCCAGGCTGCCTCCGCCGGCGCGGTCCTCGCGCTCCTCCTCCATCATCGCCGTTTCCTCCTCGATCTCCTTCTCCGTGTCCTCGCGCAGACCCAGGATGTCCGGGGGGATGAAGCTCATCTGCACGCTGGGGGCGCCCTCGATGTAGCGGAGCTGCTCGCGGATGGACTGCAGCAGGCCGGCCAGGTAGGGGCGGGGGTTCTTGTTCTCGAGCTTGCGCATCTCGGAGAGCGGGGGGAATAGGGAGAAGTCCGGGCCGAAGTGGTTGCGGAAGGTGACGGTCTCGGGGATGTTGGGGTCGATGACGTCCTGGGCGTCGAGCAGGATCGAGGTCTCGTGGGCCCAGGCGCGGGAGACGTTGCGCGGCGTGTAGCCGCCACCGCCGACGATCAGCAGCGGCAGGTTGAAGGTCTTGACGAAGGCGACGCACGCGCCGTGCGCCGAGACGTTGAGGTTGAAGCAGCCCAGCCGGTCGCAGCCCAGCGAGTCGGCGCCGCACTGCAGCACGATGGCGCCGGGCCGGTAGACGTCCACGCACGAGCCGACCACGTCGCGGAAGAGCTGGATGTAAGACTCGTCATCGATCCCGTCGTGGAGGGGCACGTTGACCGAGTGGTGCGCGCCCGGGTTCAGCGGGTGCGTCGGCCCGTTGCTGTCGAGCGCGCCCGTGCCGGGGAAGAAGTTGTCCTTGTCGTATTTGTGGAAGGAGACGGTCAGCACCCGGTCCGTGGACCAGAAGGCCTGCTCGACGCCATCGCCGTGGTGCACGTCGATGTCGATGTACATGACGCGCGGGTGGAGGCGGAGGAGCTGTAGGATGCCCAGGACGATGTCGTTCACGTAGCAGAAGCCGCTGGCTTCGGACTTTTTGGCGTGATGGAGGCCACCCGACCAGTTGATCGCGATCTCCGACTGGTTGTTGCACAGTTTGCGGGCTGCGTCGATGGTGCCGCCAGCGTAGAGCGAGCAGTAGTTGTATAGGCCGTCAAAGATCGGGCAGTCGTCCCCAAAGTTGAAGCGCGCAATGTTCTCGCTCTGTTCCGAGTTCTCCATATCTCCCGGGTTCACTTGGCGGAGAAAGTCGAGATAGTCGGACGTGTGGAACTCCTCCATCTCCTCGTATGTGGCCCGGCGCGCCAGGTATAGGTCCATCGCATGGTGCATGCCATAGGCCATCACCAGCTGTTTCGTGAGCGTGAGCCGCCAGGGTTTCATCGGATGCGATTGTCCGAAATGATGCAGTTCGACCGCGGGATTCGCATGCCACGAGACGCGGTAGCCTTGAGGGCGGGCGACGCCATTTTGTTGGCGTTCGTGGGTGACTTTGCGATCAACGGAGAGCGTGGGAGCGGAGGTGGGAGGGGCGTATTCCTGCACAATGGCGGAGCGGGCCATGGAGATGGTTGTCGAGAAAGTATCAGAGAAATGGAGATGAGAGGTGGAGGTGGATCGATTCAAAGAGACCGATGGATTGGTTTCAGATCATTCTTGCGCCCAAGGGAAAGCAGAGGCGAATGAATTGCATGCAGCGAAGAAGAGGGAAAGAGAGAGAAGTGGAGCGGAGCGGAGTTGGGGTTGAATCGCGGCAGAAAAAGCCCGCAATCACCTGCCAACTGGACAGTCCCGACTCCCAATATTAATGCTGCTTGATTGAAAGCCTTCAACTTTCCTGTCCGAGCCGAAACCGACGCATCGGTAAGCATCGGCAAGCATCGGCAAGCAGCTTGCAAGACTTCAAACAATCATCATCCATTCGTAGTTGTATGTGCCAATGCTCGGTTCGGTCGCCTCTGCCGAGAGCGCCGGTGGCATTGTGTTTCTCAAATCCGAAACTATGCCGAAGGATTACCTAACGTCCGCCGATGTCGGTTGAGCAGCCATGACATTTTTCTAGAAGCCTACTTCTGCCTTGAAGAATTATGGGTCCGAAAGAACGGTCGGGGCTCGAGACGAGTAATGGGCGAGGCGACTTTGGGATTCGGGCAATGGATCAACGCCCTATAAAGCCAGCTCTATCGCCCTCAAGACCCGAGTCTGAGTGGCGACGTCATTGACTTTTTTTTCTCCCTGAAACACTGCTCTACCTATTCGTGTATACAGCCACCAACATCATCATGCCTATGGTAACAGCAGCCACAAGCCTGCGGCAGGCTCTCGCGGACCCTGAGGCATTCGTCGTCGCTCCCGGAGTGTATGACGGTTTCTCCGCTCGCATTGCTCTCGGGGCAGGCTTCAATGCCCTCTACATGGTGAGTGGCAACGCAAGCCCGGCCACAATCAAATCTGCTAACAAGCTCTCATAGACGGGTGCCGGTACGGCTGCCTCCGTCCACGGCCATGCGGATTTGGGTATTTGCACCCTCAACGACATGCGCGCCAATGCGGAAATGATCTCCAACCTTTCCCCCACTACGCCCGTCATTGCCGATGCAGACACCGGATATGGCGGCCCAATCATGGTTGCTCGCACGACTGAACAATACTCGCGCTCCGGAGTTGCCGCCTTTCACATCGAGGACCAGGTTCAAACGAAACGCTGCGGCCATCTCGGAGGCAAGATTCTCGTGGATCAAGACACCTACGTGACGCGGATTCGCGCCGCCGTGCAGGCTCGTCAGCGGATTGGTAGCGACATCGTGGTGATCGCGCGAACGGACGCCCTGCAGGTGCGCGGCTACGAGGAAAGTGTGGCACGACTGCGGGCGGCGCGCGACGCTGGGGCAGATGTAGGGTTCCTCGAGGGCATAACATCTAAGGAAATGGCTCGGCAGGTGGTGCAGGACCTGGCGGGGTGGCCACTGCTTTTGAACATGGTCGAGCATGGAGCGACACCGGACATTTCGGCGCAGGAAGCCAAGGAGATGGGATTCCGGATTATCATCTTCCCTTTCGCAGCCATCGGTCCAGCTTATAAGGCCATGCAGGAGGCGATGGAAAAGCTCAAGAGGGAGGGCATTCCGGGATTGAGCAAGGACATGACCCCACAGATGCTGTTCCGTGTTTGCGGGCTCGACGAGAGTATGAAGGTGGACGCCGAGGCGGGCGGCGCTGCCTTCGAGGGAGGGGTTGAGCTGCAGAAGTAAATCGTCGCCTTCAAGCTATGTCTGTCATGATTACTGTATTCTAGAGATCTGTTAACAACGTCAATGTAAATATTGTATAAATTTATGGAACGAAGTGACTGTTGCTGTGAAATTCCGTACCTTGATCGGGAAGGCCAAAACACGACCTTAGTTAATTAGACTCACTGTAAGTCAACAACCTTGGAGTTCGTCCGGCAACCGGCAGTGCTTGGAGTCTCTTTCCGGGCACCAAGTCACCTGACACGGGATGGAGGGGGAAGATCGCACAAGAGCTGACGAGTCGCTCTCCTTGACAGGAATAGCATCATCTCAAACCGGGTAGGCAACACTCTAAATTTGGAGGCTCCCAAGTCCAGAAAAAAAGGAGTGTACGGTAGCATGCTATTCATGAAATGGTCTAGTGTTAGACTTAGGGGGGAGGTAACTTGGCAGATTTCCCAATCCTGTCATTCTCAAGTGACCGAAAAAAGGCTCGCGGTTCCGAGCGTTGTTCCATAGTTGAGCAACTCTGGTTCCGTCTCATCCAGTGCGCAACCACCCAAGGGAACGTTGTTTATTTACTGGCCTCAGTACTCTGTAGACTCTCGGCAAGCACGGGCTCGAGAATCAAGTGATCCAGACCAACGTCGGTCACACAGGACGGTGGATAAACTGAGTTTTCGACCATTGAAATTGGTGTCTCTTTTCTCTCACGGGCCAACCTTTGGTGGGTGGCGATTGACATTACTGTGGGCTTGGTTATGGTCAGTGGGCGCGACCAAGTCAATTCAATTCCAATGGCCTGTTTCGTACTGGTAAGACACAGTGAGATAACACTCGGCCTACTCCGGAGTATGTTGTTGTAGTCGCTGCTCGCCATGAGGTTGTTCCTGCAGCCGCCATCCGACCGCGGAATTCGTTTCAGGTGTTTCTCGATTTGGGGGCTATTCAGGGTCCTTATGGCGCCGGCTGGCTTGCGTGATGGCATCCAGGGACGGAGGGGCAACAGACCCTGGAGTCCCTGAAGGGCCCTGAGGGTATTCGTGTCCAGCGTGTAGGCAGTCACGATACCGACCATTCCGTAACAAAGGCAGTTCACACTGTAGGCATCTCCGCAAGACGGCCGGGCAACACGACCGCAGCGCACCGACTCTCGACTTGCTTGGGGAGAGTACGGAGTAGTCGGATATTGAATGAGCCAGAATAGATGGCAATGAGACTGTTCAGTCCGTATGGGCAGTGTACGTGTTCAATTGATACACCACCCACCCTATTCATCCTGTATCATGGGCAACCACAAGTCCGGCTTAGACAGTGTCTCTATCGGTCTCCCCCGCGATATATCCATCACATCGCTCTATTGACATCATCAGTTGGTTGCCCGATGATACACGACGGTGAACCTCGTGGGTCCTGACGTGGTCCATTGAAATTACAGTGGTGGTTGTCCTGGCTGCGAGTAGAGTGTAGAAGGAGAGGTGAGGGGGAAGCTGGGTCTCGCAGGGGATGACGAAGTTGCAGGCAGTGCGCCTGCAGATTGTGACTCTTCAGCAGGCACGTATCGATAAGCAGTGCGCGATGGCTTGAATGGGCTGAATTCCTCAGATCGGGCAGCAGCATTCCTGGTGGTGGACAGAAGCCATCCGCGAGATCTAATCAATCACGAATGTCTGCGACAGCAGTGTGATAGTGACTTGTCTGTTGGGAGATACATTGATTATGACGTGTCGGAAGGATCGAGAGAGATCGTGGAGATATCACGATATCACTGGTGTGAGATGGAGACGACGAGGCCTTGCATTGTTGCTGTTGCTGTTGTGGTCTGCTCCAACAAGCTACTCACTCTACTGTAGGTACAGTTCCAGTTCCATCTTCACTCGTCTCACCCATCACTCCCGTCATCATGGATGCATGTAAGGTACCAGGCACGGTAATCAAACGGTATGATACGAGCGGATCGACAGAACCAATCCAGGGAAATCCGAGCCTCGAACCGCGGTCTGAGTGGGGCTGACCACCAATGACTGCGCAGTGTTGGCCTTAGTTCAGGAACCGCCCCCCCTTTTCATTTAATTGTCGGTCTCTACGGGTCTTGGTGTGCCTTCAATCCGTGATCTTGACCAACAAACTCACAAACTTACCCCCATCCCCAACTGGACGGTGAGAGTCTGGCTCGATGCTCGCTCATTTTCAATTTCAAATTTAATCCTTCCTCTCCCTCCCCCTCATCCCTCATCCCTCTTCTCTCCTTCCTTCTTCTCCCTTTCTTCTTTCTCTCAATCCATCATCGTTCTTCCAGGTGCTCGCAACCCACACTCCTTTGTCGATTGCTTGTTTCAGGTCGAGGGCTCTCTCATTATTGTGTTGCTCTTGTCACTCCTTATTCACTTGAACTGCCTATCAATCACTCTTTCAACTGCGTCTACCCTGGTCTCGATTGTGGTTCCAACTTAAACATCCGTGATACCCTCGTCTCGCACCTCTTTCATAGCAAAAGCAAAAGCAAAAAGTCTCATCAAGACTACAACCATCATCATTCTTCACAATGCAGCTCAAGAACTCCATGCTTCTGTTGACCGCCTTGACGGCTGGTTCTTCCGTCGCTCGCATGCACGGCCATGAGCGCCGCCACCACCACCACGAGAAGCGCAACGTCGGTGACGAGGTCTACGCTGTCATCGACGGTGTCCTCGAGTCCTGGGTCAACGACTGGTCTGGCTCTGCCACGACTACCGTTGAGTCCAACAAGGCTGCTGCTACCGTCGCGGCTGCTGCTACCATCGAGGTGAGCGCTAACGTCGCTGCCTCTGCTACCGTTGCCGCCAGCGCTGCTGCCGCTACTTCGAGCTCCGCCTCGGTTGTCTCTTCTGCCGACGGCACCTGCAAGTCCTGGTCTGCGACCTCGTCGAGCTACTCCCGCTCTGGCTTCGGAGCCAAGTCCAACGCCAAGCGCACCACCGATGCCATCTACTACTCCGGGAACGTCGGCAGCCCCTGGGGAAGCAACATCATCGAGGTCAGCGAGGACAAGGCCTGTCTCTACCAGTATGTCGTCCGCTTCCAGGGTAGCTCGTCCGACGACTGGACCGTCAAGTTCTGGAACAAGATCGGTCCCAACGGTGGTCTGAACGGCTGGTACGGCAACTCGGCTCTGGAGTTCAAGATCAAGGCCGGTGAGACCCGCTACGTCGCCTTCGACTCCGACTCCCAGGGTGGCTGGGGTGCTGCTAAGGGTGACTCTCTTCCCACCGACGAGTACGGCGGTTACTCTTGCACCTGGGGTGAATTCGACTTCGGCAACACTAGCAACGACGGCTGGTCCGGCTGGGACGTGTCCGCCATCCAGGCCCAGAACGCTGGCCAGGAGGTCCAGGGTATGAAGATCTGCGACCACACCGGTTCCAAATGCTCCACCATCGGCAACGCTCTTGCCTCGGTCATCAACGCCTACACTTCCAACCTCGCCGATGCTGACGGCATTGGTGGTAACTCCAACGAGGAGGCTGTCCGCTTGGACGTCGAGCTTGACTTCGCCTAGATCGTCTTCGTGTGATTTTGTCGTTTTCCTTCTTTCTCAGATTCCCCTTATGGTTTCCCTTGTGCTGGGTTGGAACTCCTTAACATGTGTGATTTGCGGACTACTGTGAACACCATCCAACTCCTATTTTCTGTTTCGAGTGTACATACCAATGTTATCGTATCTATTCCTGATTGGTGATATCCTACAGTTGTAGTCTGGTTCTCGGGTGGCACCCTGGTTCACCTCGACCATTGCAAGGAGTTCTGAGGCATTGCTTTGTCTCTTCAATGCGGTTTGTCGTGATGTAGTCACCTTTGTTTTTGACCCAATGCCGAGACTCAGTGTCGATAATATATGTTGCTGGACAAAGCCTTTTGTCGCTCGACTTCTTTCCACATTACGTGTTTCACTTCTTTGAGTAGCACGTACGAACAATCAAGGGACCAACAATACACCATGAAGTAGCAATATCCGGCACAGCTTGTCACTTCCAGGCCTAATATGAATAACACATGGCAGGGATCTAGTGTGATATGTAGTACTTCGCTTATTCTTTTTCCGAGGCGAAGGTAATTAGGCGGCATTGTGATTAATAATGTAGTCCATAGTGTTGGCCGCGGAGGCGAGAGGATTCCTGAGGCGGCGATCAGGGGCCGACGCAGGGACCACGTGCCGATAGACGGCGTTTCGGCGTCATTTTCAGCTTTCCCCTCCGCATAATTGTTCCTCTCTGCTTGCCCCTTCCCTTCCCTTGCCACGACTCACCAGATCATACCACTGCCTAGCATGGGCTGGTTTGGAGTCGCAACGCTGATTGCGGCTGCATGTTATCTTATTTACCGACATCCGCCCGCTACCTGGGCGCCTCAGCCTCAGCCTCAGCCTCATCCTCCGTCCGAGAAGACATCCGCGAAACCGCCCACTACTGGAAGCACCAGGGACGCTGCAGAGTCTCTCGAGCCTGATGTCCTCGTAGAAGATACCCAAAGCACTCCCAAGGCTTCTGCGACGAACGTGCCCGCTATTGAGATACCATCCTTACATCTGGACAATGAGACCAAACCTGTCGCGCAAAACGACCATCAATCCCGCCACAATGGACCGATAGACCCCTTATCCCCTCCATCGACAGCAACAGCAGCAAAATCCTCCCAACCCAAACCGAGCAATGGAAGTCTCATGCCTCCGCCACCGCTACCGGTTCCGCAACTCCTTCCCCCCTCCCCCCAACCTTCTGCGACAGCTTCAACTATTTCCGCCAAAACCACGTCCATGCCTCCGCCACCCCTTCCCCGACTCCGCCCAACCGCAGCCCAGCAGCAGCCACAGCAATCACTATCATCCTCCCTGACCGCAGGACGCTACCCTCCGCGCCCAACGAACCCCGCCGCCGGCCCAGCAGGATTCCTCCGCCCACCCCCATCCGCCGCCTCCTCCCTCCGCGCGCCGCCGAGCCGCTCATCCCCTTCCTCCCTCGCGCCGACGAAGCTGATCGCGAAGCCCCTCTCGTCCTCCGCGTCGAACAAGAACAAACACATCCTCCAACCGGGGTACTCGCCGCTGGATTGGGCCGCGTTGACATCCAACCCGAACAACAACCTCCGGGGCAAGAACCTGCCGCCCACGCTGATCCGGGTGACGCCGTCGATGCTCAAGGCGCAGAACGGGCGCAAGGGGGCCGACGCATGGACGTCCTACCAGGGAAAGGTGTACAACATCACGCCGTATCTGCCGTTCCACCCTGGCGGGAAAGGGGAGCTGCTGCGCGGGGTGGGCAAGGATTCCGGGCAGCTGTTCATGGAGATTCACCCGTGGGTGAATTGGGATGCGATTCTTGGAGAATGTTTGGTCGGAATTTTGGTGGCGGAGACGGAGGCCGAGAGTTCTGGAGGGGGGAATGAGTTGGATGCGATGGATTGAGTTGGTTGACTTGGGGGGGTTGACTGATGTTGTGTTTAGCCGATGATACCCTAGATTTGTGATGTGATATACTTGGATATACGTACAGATCAGTTGTATAGCTCCTTCATAGAATATATCAACTGACTATGCCATGCACCTCGCGCGACACTACTGATGACATGATCTCCATTGTCCAATACACTGTACTCTAATTAAGGATGACCAACCAACCCAGAGCGCAGACCCTTCCCAGAGAGAAAGCAAAGCCCAAATACCACACCCAAACGAATGCACCTCAAAGATCAAACCAAAACACGGGTACTTACCTTCCTGTCCTCCCGCAAGACAAAGAACCACCCACCGGCCTGTAGCGGTAGGCGCTCGGCATTACTTTAGAAAAGTACCCTAGCCCCTCCCGGATGCGGAACACCGCCCGCGACCGCGGACTCTCCATTGGCACCGCACCGTACCTCTAGCTAGCAGCCACCTCCACCCCCAGAAAACATAAAACGTAACCCTCACCACCTCACCACCTCACCATCTCACCACCCTCACCTCCAAATCCCTCAACCAACCCACCTACAATTCAACAAACAGAACCGAAACAATGCGCCTCCTCCCCCTGGCCCTCACCGCCCTAACGGCCACCATCACCACCACCCTAGCGGCCTCCTCCTCCTCCCTCGGCATCGAAGTCACCCACCCCGTCGAATGCAGCCGCAAGACCCAAAGCGGTGACACAGTGCACATGCACTACCGCGGCACGCTGGCGGCGGACGGCTCCGAGTTCGACGCCAGCTACAAGCGCGGCCAGCCGTTGGTGTTCAAGTTGGGTGCGGGGCGGGTGATTAAGGGGTGAGTTTTTGACCTTTTCCCCTCTCTTTTGGGCAGGTTGGGTTGGATTTGGGGCGCTTTCGGCACATTTTTTGGATTGGGCTGGGCTGGGTGCGCTGGACGGATCGCATTGCATCGCATTGGGCGGCAGTAAATCGTAAAGCTAACTTTCTTTTGCGTGTAGCTGGGACCAAGGCCTGCTGGACATGTGCATCGGCGAGAAGCGGACGTTGACGATCCCGCCCGAGTACGGGTATGGGAGTCGTGGCGTGGGCCCGATCCCCGGCGGGGCGACGCTGGTCTTCGAGACGGAGTTGGTGGGGATTGATGGGGTGGCGAAGGATGAGTTGTAATTGTTCTTAAGTCTGGTTTTGGTTTTTGGAGAGAGAGAGTTGGGTTTTCGTTTTTGGCTTTGGAGAGAAGGTTGGGAAAGGGGGTGGTGATGTGGATGTGGATGTGGATATGGATGTGGCTTACTCGTTACTGCACAGTACATAACATCGAAATGCTAAAGTCCAGCTTTATGTCTAGAAGGCGCAAGTATCTAAAGTATGCGCGGATAACTTTTAACAGGTATCTTTCTATATACATATGAACATGGCCCAAAAAAAATCAGGCCCATTTCCCAAGCAACGCCATCAGCAGCGCACCCAAACATAACAGTCCGAAAGCGGACAGCACCACGTGGATCGGGGCCTTGCGCATCGACGTGCTGAACATGAACTCGTGCGCCAGGAGCTCCACCAGCGCCGTGTAGATCAAAATCCCCGCCGAGATCGCATCGAACACGCCGCTGACGATCAACGTCGTGGCGCCGCTGTCGGCGTAGCTGTTGCGCACGCCCAGACCGATGGCGATGGCGATTGGGGTGGACACGCCGAACCCGAGGCCCAGGAAATACGGCGTCCATCGCTTGGCGTGCGGCCACGGCACTGTGGCGAGGCGCGAGCCCAGACCGAGCCCCTCGAACGTTTGGTGGAAGACGAGCACAACATAGAGGGTCACGAACCCGGTGCCGGTGACCGCGAGAGTCAGGCCGATGAACACCGAGTGGAAGATGATGCCGAACTCCAGGATGAAGATGGACGTCAGCTGCGCCATGTACTCCTCCAGGTGCGAGTGGTTCTTGCCCGCTTCGACGTCGTGGTGCTCGCGCGAGTGGCCCAGGTGGTCTTCGCCCGGCATGTGGCCTTTGAAGTCCTCGGAGACGGCCACCGGCTGCTCGGCTTCCACGTGGTGGTGGTGGTGCTGGACGTGGTGGTGGTGGCTGTCGTCGTCTTCTTCGCTGTCCGAGTCATGAGCGTGGCCGTGCCCGAAGCGTGCGTAGCGCATGACCATGAGCTCCACGAAGAACAACACCACAATCGTCATTAATACAATCGCTTCAGTCCACGAGTACTCTGTGATCGGCCCCGTCAGGCAATCGCTCGTCAAAGCCTCTTCGGCCGGGGCCAACAGGTGGATGAACGCCGTGGCAATGATGACACCGGACCCGAAATACTTGGCGACGAAGAAGGCCCATTTCGACAGTTTGCCGTCACTGAAGCTGCGTGCAAAGACGGGGAAGATAGCCCCGAACGACGAGCCGATGAAGATCACGAAGATGGAGGAGATGCGCAGGCCGATTCGGCCGTCGTAGTCGTTGCCCGTGGGGCAGCCATCGTCTCTGGCAATGAGGGTATGGAGGGAGTCCATGCTTTCTGCGCTCACTCGTCCTTTTCCAGATCCGTCGGCAACTCAAGGATCCTTGGGCCTGTGCTGTGCGCTGTGTATGTGTGGCACGGGCCCGCCTTCAAGGACAAGGTTTAACGGGATAGATCGACCGCTAGAAGCCAGCGACACCGTCCAGGAGTCCAATGATATCGCCGGGTGGGTGTGTGACAGGGGTTGTGGCAGGCGTCAAAAAGGCACGTGGGAGGAGGAATGTGAAGGGTTGAGATTGAGAATGCTGCCAGTGTCCGTCTGCAAGGTCCGCGTTCTTTATTAAGTGGTCTGCTTTTTTTCGACCCCCCGCTCTTGAATGTTCGAAATCCGGTTGTGCGGCTGCCAACGGGCACGTCGACAGTCCCCAAGGTCCTTGAGACTAGTCAAGAATGCCCACGTCAAACTAGTGAGGGCGAGACAGCAGCAGCCTGTCGGATGGGGACCTTGGTAGCACAGTGGGGGAAGCGACCCAGCTGCAGTGGCTAAGAGAGCGATTGAGATAGCCTGACGACTCGAGAATGACCGACACGTCGCAAGGATAAACGAGCAGATGCACCTGAGGTGATACAGGCGCAATAAGCAGGCGGACAGAGGGAATGGACGAGGAGGGCCATCGTGGCGGGCGATGAAGAATTCGACACTGTTCTGGGAAAGGTGCGGGTCGATGTTGCAGTGGATGGGGACCTTGGAGGAAACCGACGTCAAATTCCTCGGGCACTTGGGGACCTTGCGGACAGGATGACCCTCCTTTTCTTGGGCTGCTGATTGGCCCGGACCAATCTCGGAGTGGGTTATGTCACGTGCCTACACAGGATATGATAAGATGTCTGTAGTTAGTCTACTCCGTACAATAAAGTACACTTCACTGCAGTTCTTTAGCTGTGCCGTAAGAGGAAACGAGAGAAAAGCCAGGTTCAGACATTTCATAGAGAAAGATCTACTACGGAGTAGGTTGAATACCGGTTATTCATACACACGTTCTCTATGCTGTGGATGAGTCGGTTGAATGAATAGTAGATGTAGTATCAATGGGAGGGAACCATGGACCACCCTCTCGAAAAGACAATTCGACAAGGCCCAGATCATACCATCAGGGTACCCAAGGAAGCAAATATAGACTCATGAGGTCACGCATCTCTCATGTGTCTGAACCAAATTCTTAACTATGGTTTTGGCATGGCAATATACAGGTAGGACACTACTAACTAAAAGATCGGTATATTATGGAGGGACTTCGGAAGAGACGACGAGAGAGACAAGATATCGCAGGCTCCTAACCACACTGCACCGCACACCGCCCTTGGGGGAAGATGCCGAAGATGCCCAGTCTTTCCGCCCTTGCCGGGCGCGCTTGGCGGCGCAGCTCCGAGCCCAGTCACGTCACGCTTTCCGCCAACTCTCGCCGACGACCACCTCACACATGACATCAACACACACACACGCATACTCGATCCCCTTCCACTCTGACACTCTACCTATCTATCTATCTATCTATCTTCTTCGAAGCTACCGATACTAGCCCGAATTCGACTTCGGTATCAACTACCTCTCCAACACCACAGCACCTACATTCCATCCGTACAAACCGTGATCGCTGCCCTCATGGCGCCGATTCGCCGCTACCTCCGAATCAGCAAATACACCGTGCTCGAGTGCCGGATCTACCTCGAGAAGCCCTCCGACATCCGATGGCTGCTCAGCAGCCGTGACCCCGTCCTGCAACGGATCTTTGCCGCCATTCGACCCTTGGTCCTGCCCAAGTTACGCGAAGAAAACGAGCGACTATTTGCCCGGAAGAAAGGCAAGCCCGTCAAGGATGTCATCGCAGAAGGTATGCCCCGGCTTTCGGCCGATGCAAGCGGAAGTCCTCTGGTTTTCGGCGGGGTTGGGAACAAGACTTGCTAACATCATGCCATGGGTGCAGATGACTTCGAAGTCGCCCTGTTCCTTCGCGAATCTCGAACACGCCACTCTCTTTTGACGCGGCACAAGGAGTTTGAACAAGACGCAAACAACGGCCAGAACAAGCTGCCAGATCAGGCGGGGGCCGATGGCACCGCCGGGGGTCATATTCTGGTCGAAAGCGATGACGAGAGTGACCTGCGGATGCAGGATATCCCCGAAGCTGGTGCGGTCGAAGAAGGCAATGCCGGAGGGAAACGTGCGCGAGCAACGGAGGAGCGGGACGAGTCCCCGAATGATCGACGCACTTCCAAACGGAGGAAAGAGGAGGATTCGATACCACAGATAGATGAGACCGAGGACAAGAAGATGCAGTTCAAAACAAACTATGAGGGGTTCAACATCTACGGCTGGGTGCTGTGTCTGCTCGTCACACGCAAAAGTGACGGGGTGACCGCGGCGCCTGGCTCCTCAGAGCCTGGTCGCCAGGCCCTGATGGAAGAATGGATTTCTACACAGGCTCAAGGTGACCTGATTGAGGACTGATTCTGAAGAATTGCTTGGACATGTGCGGGGTAGATGGGCCTATCGGTCGGTGATAGCCAGCGCTGACTCTCGGATCCGATGGTCGGCAGACCGAACGTGCAATCTCGTCCGCGTCGACTTTGCATAGCTGCAGGAGGCAAGTATGATGTGCAACCCTGCCTTGCAGACATCCCTGATCATGACCGTTATTGGGCAGAGTGGGATGATCTTGACTTCCATCTGGCATGGTAGCAGGCTCCACGGCATTCACTCAATGTCTGGATCTGCAGCCTCGAGGTCACCATGAAACACACCCCTGCACCCGTTTATGCGACAGAGACGGTAGTGCTACGTGCAATTTGTGGAGCTATCAGGCCATCTCTACCGTTGTCTACAATGCTCTCTGTGCAACCCGCGGTCTCAAGGTCCTGCATTTGATGGTCCTGCATTGTTTTAGTCTGTGCCACTCAGCTATGCGCGAGGCTTCTCACGGCCCAATTCGGCCATTCTCACCATGGCGTAGTTGATTCACCACACGTAGCGCCACAGATGGCGCTCTGGACGGAAACGAGTTGCGCGATGCTCGGTGACACTGCGCCAGATGCATCTGCAGGCCTGTAGTGCTGATTTAACTTCCGGCTTGCTGCATATGCCAAGATCCTGGCATGGACGCTCTCTTTGGACAGGGCAGTTCTTGCAATTTCCTTGGAAAACTATATCGACTCGTGATATAGACACAACCCAAACCGATATCAAGGCCTGAACGGAACGATGTTTGGCATTTCGGCAGCTGAGCGGAGTCCATGCTTAGCGTTTAGAGTAGCTTGCTGATAACAGCGTCGAAGCCTGACTCCGGGTGGACCCGAATTAATCCCGTTCCCTGTCTCCCCAACAGAAAAGTGGCGCAGAATCCTCCAAATTCGGCTCACCGTTTTCTTTCAAGATCGGAGAGGGGCCCTACAAGGAGGAGGGCTAAAACGACTTAGAGTAGTTTACGAGTCAATTCCAACGCCCAACGAAGTGCGGAGGCTTTCTTCCATTATTGTTCTATGGCGGCTCCGATGGGGCCTGCGGGATGGGGATTCAAGCCCAATCCTCGATACCAGCCTTGACGGTCGTACAAGTTCAACAGGAATTACCGAATCGCGACGTCAAGGAATGGGGACAGTCGGCTTCTTGTTCAGCAATCGGGCTACCCCAACCTGTACGTGCACCAGAATAGCGACTATCCAACCGATCATTGGTGTAGACATACACCGCATGCGCGCGCTCGCGCAGGAAGAGACAGCGGTAGTGGACCATCGGTTGCAATTGAAACCCACGATGTGCTTGGCGGCTGGGACCGCTTCACGATGGACTGGTGGCTAGCGGGATTTGCATCATAATTAGTGGCCTTTTAGCCCGCGATTAGCGGGCGTTGGTTGGGAGGGGGTTCGAAATGGATCCATATCAATTCGTCGAAACCACCCCGAATCTTCTCGCCTCTCTAGACATCTGCCCCTCGTTTCCTGCTAATTAAAGAGCGGTGAACCGTGGAATGGAAAGACTTCTGGAAGGGCGGGTACCATTCCATGAAGCGGAGACAATTCTCTGTCTGACTGAGGTTGATCTTCACCGCTGGAGATGGATTGCGATCGTGGTCCCTCGCCTCCATCGGCTGCGGATCCTGACCACACCGACATTGATTGATCCTTAAAGATGAATAAACCTTAGAGGGAGATTGAGGTTCGGGAGGGGGGGGTTGATCGACCGAGTGTGTCTCGCAGTCAGTACCCCGTACTCGGCGCTGCATAAATTCTAATTAGGATTGTCAGAGCTGCAGCGAGGTGCATAGTACCTGCATTAAGCAGGTGATTGACTGGCGAAAGGCGCCAATCACTCATCGGCAAAGATACGGGCAGTGCAGGTGAGACAGAGACAGGGACAGAGACAGGGAGACTGATGAGTTCACCTCGTTAGAGTGTCGGGATGGCAAAGAAGCACAAGACGGAGACGGGCTCAGCTTCCTGGCGGGAGGTTTAGTGATCAGTCTAGTCTAGTTTAGTCTATCCACTTCGGGACAGGCACAGAGGGCACATGATCACCACTTCACAGCCAGACTATGACCGATCAAGAAAGCTAGAGAATTCCGATCTACCCACATTGCTATGATAGGAAATGAAGCGCCAAATTGAAGACCACCAGGAACGACAATCGCAATTCGATGTCTTTTTCAGTCAACCCTCCGACCACCAAAAAGCGCTAATTACACATACCCGAGGAGATGATGATTGACCATGATTGACCATGATTGACCATGATTTACACTGCCTCCGCAATCCGCAAGGCCATTGCTGCTGCTGCTGCTGCTGCTGCTGCTGCATGTTGTTCCCACTTTTTTTTTTGCCAACGGCGCGGAATGAACAGTGGGGAATCTCATTTCCTTCACTTGGAACCATTACTCCACCCGTACCAGAGTATCTGTAATTTTTTTGGTTTCGGGACGGTCAGTTTGCCATGTGTTCGTTCCATCGCCTTCCAGGGTTTCAGAGCCGACGATAATAATCCATCATGAATCATTGGGCATGTCGGAAGCCCAGGGAAGGTCTGGGTTTCGTCGTGGTCGCATGAGAGCTTCGAATCAGGGTCCATCTTCAGCCTTTCTGACTCGGAACACGGCGGATATAGGTTTCCACTGGGAGTTTTGCGTCAGTTGTTCATCATCGTGATTAATACCATCATCATCATCATCATCAACATGAATCTCATGGACCAGAACCGAAATATCCATCGGAGTCGCCAATGCCCACTCCGAAATACCCGCTGCGACAGACAGAGCAGAAGAACGCCATCCTCGTAACAGCATAGATCCATGCATGGTCTCCCCAGCGCACACGCTACAAGTCCTCCACGGCACTAGGTCGATTATAGACTCCGACCTACTGTGAATTTAGACTACCAACTCATATATCCACTAGGAGGGTCGGAGAGTGGTTTTAGGCGCCCGCCCTAAGTTAGCCCGAGTACGGGAAGCATTAACTTATCAGTCATCTCTCTAGCAGTTATTGATCAGATACGTACGTACTGTCCAAGTTATCTGCGTATCCTGCGGGATCGATTGGTGTGAGCTCTCATCATCAGTACTCCGTAGTAGATGGTAGATTGACGTGCAGGATCGTCATCCCTCCCTCCCTCCCTTCCCTCCCGACCACAACCGTCTTGCTCTTCAACCTGCAGGTGATCCCGTCCGCCCATTTCTTTGTGCTAGACTATATGTAGAGTACAATATAAGCTGCAGCAATGAGCTGCAGTCCATCAATCATGTTTAGTCTCGTTCGAACCACCCTGCCCTGCTCCCCCTGGACTTGGGATGTCACGCTAAGAAGCACACAGCGCACTGCAAATCAAGTGAGAGTAGTAGTTGTAGTAGTCCCCCGTAGTCCTCCGTGAAGACGACGGTTTTTAATCTGATCAGGGCCAGGGAAGGCAAATTGCACTGGAACCAGGTTTGGTTGCATTGCATAAGGTCTGCAGGACCGACTTGATTTCCCAGGTACTGTACGGAGTACACCATGGTAGATTCAGCATTGCGAGGATACCATGAACCCGAGGCGTGCCTGTTACCTACAGTTTTTCTTCATCCTGCCTTGATCCGGTCAGGACAGGTCAGGCCAGGTCAGCCAGTCACTTGAAAACGAGCTCTGCCTACTGGCATCTACGTTATCTCCCCTTCCACCATGCCCTCACCTAAGCTAAGTAGTCCTCAATGACATGTCTCGAGAACTCGAAATCAAGCAAGTTACGTTACCCAATTCATTGCGAAGATACTAAGTCAAAAGCAAAGCGCCAAGCCAAACCCAAACCCCCCAAAGATAGATAACCAGATGAACCGACCACACAAGAAACCACCAGAAATAGTAACCCGCCCTATTTGTTCGCCCCCCCCCCCCCTCTCTCCCCCATCCGTCAGATTTAGACTTGAGACACTATTGATAATTATAGAGAAATAGGCCATAGCCATGACAAGGAAATCCTGGGGGAAGTGAGAGAGACAGCTCACCTAGTGTTCGTATTAGTGTTAGTGTTAGTGTTAGTATTAGTTTTTGCAAAAAGAGTTGTTGCTGTTGGGTAAGTACCAGTACTGTAGGTACGTAGTGACAGGCGACAGGCGATAGGACAGGTCTTAATCGCATAATAATCCTTCAGGTTCAGCCGCCGCCGCCGCCGCCCCTCCTTCTACTATGTACGTACCCCGGGAGCTCGGATAATACGAGGTGTCTGGAGACAGTGGACAGGGGACGTTGTACCTATGTACTCCATAGTCACGTAACTAGCATTAGGTTCGTGAGATTTGTTTTAGTCCCGTTCCTGGATGCAAGGAGGCTTGTTCGTTTAGCAGGTTTTTTACTTTATTGTTGTGCGTGTGTGCGAGGGAGATGAATCGAAAAAACAGGAACTGTGTTTTGGGTATGCGTTGGGGATATGATGGGATGGGATAGAGGGGAAACAAACTACTGACTCGCGACAATGTATGGAGTCTTCCTCGCTACGTACTTCGTAGCTGCAAATGCGGCTGCTACAATAAGTGGGTGGTTGGTTGGTTCAAGTTGTAACTCGTACCTTACTAAGTGGTGGTGCCCCTGAAACGATGCGCGGCAAGCCACGACTAAACCGTTTTCGGTACGGCTACTCCGTGCACTGCAGCAACTTTCGCCTCCCCCTGGCCCGATGAAACGACCTGTCATTATGACTCGCTCTCCTGTCTCGCTCTCTCTTGCTGCTTGCATGGTTTACAGTCACGAACCCATCTTATCTGTCTTCGCGTCAGTCTCTCACCCCTGACTAGGGCTGCAAGGACGGGGAACCGGTCTCGGAGACAGCTCGACTACTCATGCACAGTGGTTCAGCTATCCACCATCCACAATTCATATCTGTTATGCAGTCATTCTTATAGTTGGGTACTTTTGCTTACCACCTCGACAATCATAATCGAGATTGCGATGCTTACTGCGGGCGTGACGTCGGACTTCGCAGTCGGAAGGCTGCAAGAAACACAGGAAACTCCAGCCAGGTTGTACTGCCGTAAGCAAGAAGGCAGAAGGCCTGCCAACCAAGGTCTGAGGATTCGATGAGGATTGTGTGGATGTGGCTTGGGCAATCGGACGACTAAGATAGAGCTGATGGACAAGAAACGACGGTAAACCCGGACCCGGCACTCTGGCTGGGGCTAGGATCTTCCTCTTGAAGTACTACTATGTAAGTACAGTACGGCCGTGTGTGAGAGATCACACGCAGGAAACAACGAAAAAAAAGCAGGCTGCCTCGCGCAACAGCCGCAAGTTAGTGGAAGGAGGTGGGGGGAAATCGCTTGGAGATTCCATACTGTTTCCCCAACTTTGCTTCTTCCATTGCAGCTTTTTTTTTCTTGTCATTTCTTGTCCACTGCGAACACTAAACCCCATCCAAACCCGAAAGGATCTACGAACTGGCACGTGTCGTTATGGTAGGAGACTCAGGACTAGCCCCCAATCCCGTAAGCCTATCATACGCAAATCAGGGATTGAGGTTGCCTGAGCGCGAGGGCGCGAGCATGCGCATATATCCTGGTCATACTCCAGTATAGCTGTGGAGTGCGGTCGGCCGTGGTGCCTTATCGTTCATTTCGTGATGATGAGGTTGAGTCATCGCAACGACCGGCCGGTAATTATTTCTTCACGATTTCCTATCGACTAGGTAATTTACGTAACTGGGGCTTAATAACGGCTAGGGCCAATGAGCGTTTTGTCCTTATTCAAGGGCAGAAGAAGAAGAGGGAAGCGCGAAGTCGATACACAGTAAGTACTAGGTAAATTCTCTCGGACCCAGCGCTGGTCGAAGGTGGTGGAAGAAGTTAAAAACAAAAGAGCAAGAGATAGACATCCCCCACGGCTTGGAACATGGCGGAAGGACATTAAAAGGCGAACAATATTGATTGACATGCGGCAGAAACTCACCTCAGCAAGGAGGGTGGGTCGTTCGTGGGTGCCTCTTTTTCTCCTTTGCCCTACTGCCTTCCAGAAAATGATCGATTCGGTGGGTGTCAGCCAGCCTGGAGGTCGGTTTCGATTTCCCTTTTGTTTGATGTAAATGTTGTTTTCTGTTGGGTCGCATGGAAGATTTTTCGACTTCCTTTTTCCTTTCGTACAGTACCAGAGGTCACAAAGCCATTGACTTCGTGTCCCTTACTGCATCTGTCTGTCTGTCTGTCTGTCTGTCTGTCTGTCTGTCTGGGCTTGTCTGTTTGTATCGGTCGGGTACCTCCGACACATTCATTTGGTTTGAGACTGAACCAGAACCCAGACTTTCTGCAACAGCCTTGGGGAGTCTGGGACTGATGATGATGATTAAGCTCTCACTACGCAATCTCATGCGAAGTCAATCAACAATGAAACCTGCAGAGCAAGTTTGAAAAAGGGGGAGGCGAAAAACAAAAACCCCCTCCCTCCCAGTCCTTAGTAACGTAGTGCTGCAAACCCCGGGCAGCCGAAAGTGGGACAGGGAGAGACGGAGAGAGGAGACGGAGAAGAACTTCTAGAAAATTTCCGTGGGATTTCCTGAATGGGGGTGGTTTCCCCATCGGAATTCCCATCTGCTTCCCATCTGGCATCCCACCCGGTATGGCACTAGTGTAAGAACCGTCAGATTCTGACGTAGTTCGGTTTCTTCCCTTCTGTCCGAGTGGAGCTCAGCTCCTGTTCCCGACAGGGGGTACGTCCTTAATATTATTGACTTGGGGGTATTTTTTCCCTTGATTTTGTTTTTTTTTTTTTTTTTTGCGTTCGATTTTCTTACCTGGCGCGCGCTGTTGTTGAACGCCAATCATTCTTAGTCGGTGTTTTTTTCTCGCCCAGATAGAATTTAAAAAAGAAAATCAAAAACAAAATTATTGCAGATAAAAATATTTTTTTTAAAAAAGAAAAAAGAAAGGAAAAATAACACCGCGACAGAGCAAGATTCAAGTGTATATATTAGGCACCTTCGAACCTCGCTTTTGAGACTTCCCTTTCCTCTTCCTTCCTAGACTTCAAAGATCTTGAAACTATTCAAAGAATCATCACCACTACCAATCCACTACTATCGCTGCGCAGACACTCCCCATCTTCTGCCTCAACACCACCACCATCAACCATCTCGACTACCATCTCCACACCTACTCTCAACAACTACATCACAATGCCTTCCATCGGTGGTACCTCTCAATTCCCTCCCTGCCCTGGCCCTCCGCCAAAGGGACCTCTTCCCCCGCTCCCCAAGTAAACAATGGGTGTACCATCTCGATATGAACTTGACGACCGATTGATTCGGACCGGTTCCTCTCCATCGCATCTGCTCCGCCTTGATGAATATCTCGATCGAGCGGGCCGGTTCGAATCGCTCATGATATGGGAGCTGCACCCTTTGGCATGGATATGACGATTTCGTTTTTGGGACTCGCACTACGGCTTTTTACCACATACGCCTTTTATTCGACACGCTTCAATACCACCTCATTCTATCTTCAACCCCCCCTCTTCATTATCTTTCGGGATCTTACCTATTCTGGGATTACGCGACAGCATCTGAACCGATTCTCTCCTGTTGCCGAGATATTCACTTCTCCACCCAAGACGATCTTCCTGGAGACGAGCGCAGGCGCTCTGCTCCAATTTCCTCTATCAGCAATTGCGCTTTGGTTGTTGCGACATCAACACATCATCACTCACGGTTTCACGGTGCCCTTACGTGTCCGGTGGACCGAGCAGCGGACCCTGCCGCCTGAATTACCGAACCTGCAACTGTTGCCAAACGGAAGGCCATGTGTCTCATCTGGACCTTGGCGGGTCACTCGGTAAACTCGTGGGTTCCAAAATCGGCAGCCTTGTCAGTCACCGTGGACTGGGCAGTCAGTCAGCATTTCCACCAGCAACCCCGCAAGAGTCGGTGACGACACGACTCCCGCCCGCTCGGGTTCCCATGTGAGATAGTAGTAGTCTCGGATCCTGCCTGGATTTGCCGGGACTGACCCCTCCTCTCACACCAACCACTGTTGATGTCAATGCGCTGATCCGTGTGGTGATGTTCACCATCATGCATTGCTATTGGCGGATGGGATCACTTTGCATCTCAGCCTACATTTTAATCATCGGGGGAATTTTTCTTTTTCTTTTTCTTTTTCTTTTTTTTTTCTCTCATTCGACCCAATCCTCTTGTATCATCTTGATTCCTTATCTTCGTCTTTCGGAGGGTCTGAGCTTTTCATCTTTGATTCCACGTGCATGTATAATAGACTTAATATACCCACCAGCATATCGCATCTTAACTGCGCGCGCGCGATTTGACATCGCTAATGAGATTGACCATACTTATTACTACTTTTGACACCTGGAACATGCTGTTGTAAACCAGTGTAAATCCCGCATTGTAAGACGACACAGTCCTATTGGTCGTGTGGTAAGTGTGGTGAACGGGCTGTTCCCTTGCGTTGATTGAGGATCGACGGACAGATGCTCGGCCGGACAGGGATCATGATACCATAGCTGAGGGAAGCAGCCCTGCCCTCCTTCCTTCTATCTGTTTCCCCCGCTTCCCAAGCGACGATCTGAAACCAGCCAAAAGCGGAGTTATGACTCAAACGACCGAGCGGATGACGAAGGTGATGATTATGATCACCATTACGAGATCATGATCCTGACTGGGTGCGTGACAGACAGTTGGGGCCTTGTCGGAAAGCTGAGGGCAACTTGGAACTGGTACCTTTTTTTTTTGTTTTTACCGTGTATTTTCTTTTTCCCATGGCGGCGTCTCAAATTCAATAGTCGCGCAGGCGAACATCCCTCCCTAGCTCTCCCGAGGTGGCGTGCCTTGAGCGCTCCTGATACGGTGATGGTCTGTAGGGAGGGGAGAGGGGAGGGGGGAGGGGGAAGCTGTTCATCAGGCTGAGAGTACTTAGTCTTGCACTGTCCTTGTTCCGGCTTATGGTCATAATAGTTATGTTTATTATCGCTATAATTGATACTGAACTGAGTCACTCATGACATCCACAACGTCGAATGAGCTAATCTAACCCACCTGCACTATTTATTGGCATGCATATGTATGGCATGGGTCCGAGAGCCGTCGATGATCTGAATAGGGCAACCTGACGATGTAATCATGATAAGCTACAGTCACTGCCCGGAGGCTGTTACTCAGCCCAGAAGTGTAAAAAACCCACGATGGCAGGCACTGCAGGCAGCATCTACTTCCCTCCAGTACGTAGTCCACACTTCTGGACCAAGTTTACTCCAGTTCCTTGGTTGCGAACAACAAGAGGCGGGGGGAGAGTTGGTTGAACCGTTGCTATAACGTCCTGTGGCCTTGTTTTCCGGACTGGGGAATCTTCCACCCTAACCTATTTGATTCTTTTCTCGAGTCGACCACGTCCCATGTCCACGACACAACCACCACCACCACATACTAAGTCTAAATGGTGCGTGCCTAGCCCGGCAAGTCCGATCGCAGGTCAACTGACCCGACCTGAATCCTGACCCTGGCACTTGAACGCGGGGACCTGAAGGGGAGGGGGGTACTGTACCTGATCCGGTTTAACGCCACTTCGACTGTACTAGACTCCTGGTAGAGTTCCCTCCCCCTCCTTCAACAATGCCCACAGTCTCTCAACCATAATCCACTTACTCTCTCCCACACCCCTCCTTGAACAAACTGCGGCCCAGGCACGTTCCACTTCCTACCCGCACTCTGCTCCATTGCAAAACGGATATCATGCCATCGCCATGTGCTCCAATGTATGGACGGGAATGGAAATTGAGTTTTCCTTGATCGGGAGTCCCTGGATGTTACCCCCTCTAGGTACTACGTGTGGATGTTTACCTAGGGTATATGGAAAATGGGAGGAGGAGAGCCCAAAAAAAAAAAAAAAAAAAAAAAAAAAGCCGGAAATCAATCCCTCCTCTCACGTTCTCTTCTTACGTCTTCCTCTTCCTTAAGCGCTCCGAACTAGAAAAGAAGCGCCACTGCGTTGATGCGTTGTTGCCCTGCGGCTCGTCGATTCAGGAAGTGTGGGTGGTTCGTTGCAATTTCCCATACAGAGGATTTGCATTGCCAGGGCAGGAAGCAGCTTAGGATGTCCTGTACACTACTATCAACTAACCAACTTACTCCTTACTTCCTACGTAGTAATTTCTTTTGCCGTGGGATACTATCGATCGCCTGGGGAAGAGAGTTGGGATTGTCATACTCATATCGCCAGACGAGTGGGTGATGGGGTCCGGTGTCTATCTTGTGCTGGGTGCTTATCATTCGATCGTCGTTCCTGCCAACGCCCCCTTTCCCCCCTCCTCCGATGGCGTCTTTATCGATAAGTGTTTGACATTACCAGGTTGCGCCAAGAGAGGGAGATGAGGTGCTCGCGTCGTGGGCTTCAATTACCGGGTTTCTGCGGCCTGATTGTGCCTTTGAATCAATGATCTGATCACCGGGCTCCATGTTTCGTTGTCTTATCGAGTTTATCATGGGGGCACTATGCGAAGAGAGGCCCCGATAACGCCATATTGAAACCGTACTTAATCTACTTGAGATGGTAGTCGAGGCTGATCATGCACAGTACTCATGTATCTCCCCTCCCCCACTTCTTTACTTGTGACAATCTCACCTTCGTGGATCGTCTTGGATGCTCGATAAGTTAGTGGTAACGAGTAGATGAGCACGGCATGTCAGTAGCTGCCTCAGGCACACATCCGCAACCCCACCCGACAGCTCATCGATGCCTGAGGCTGGGGATCGTGCAGGATATGGAATTCTGCACGTGATCGGCCGCGATCAACAAGTCCGATGCACCTTTGCACCACCACCACAACAGCTCGTCTGGACGATCCATCGGCACGCGCGTGAAGCCTCCGGAAGATACGATGGTGCTAGAACTCCATGTTTGGGGGCCGGCATTCTCCCTGCCGTCCATCGATGCGCAATGTCTGGCGACCATTGCCTATCTGTCTCTCGCCCTACCCAAGGACGCGTGGGTGCTCGTCGCAAGTAGCGATCCCTCGGTGTCTCCAACAAGTGAGTCGTCCGGGCTTCCCCCAAGGCGTCAAAGATTTCGAGAGGACCTTACTAATATATTGCTTGTCGCAAATAGATGAACTCCCTGCCCTTCGAAACGGCAACACCTGGGTCTCCCGCTTCCGCAACATAGTCGACTATCTCCGCCAATACTCCGCGGGCGATTGGGATCTGGATGCCGAATTGGCCGGACTCGATCGCGCGGACAGTATCGCGTACGTTTTGATCCCCACCCCCCACCACCTGACCAAAACTCTGAAGCGCGAATAGATTCACCTCCTTCCTCGACACGCAATTCCCCCCTCTCCTCGCCCTCTCCCTCTACGTCACCAGCCAGAACTACTACAACTCCGTCCTCCCCGCCTACTCCTCGCAGATCCTCACCTGGCCCTCGACCTGGCTCATCCCCCCGCAGATCCGCGCCGCCGCCAAGCGCGCCTCCGACCACCTCGGCCTCTCGTCGCTGGACCTGGTCGCCCTGGAGGAGGACCGCAAGCGCGAACACTCGGCCGCCGTCGCCGCGGGGCGCCTCCCGGCCTCCCTCCCGCTCCCCAAAGCCGCCCCCACGATCACCTCGGGCCTGGCCACGACCCACCGCTTCCGCATGGAGGCGGTCACAGCGGCGGCCTTCGAGCCCCTCGCGGCGATGCTGCAGCCGGCCCAGAAGAACTACCTGCTCGGCGGGGACCGCCCCACGAGCGTCGACTGTCTCCTGCTCGGGTACGCGAGCCTCGCGGCGCTGGGGCCGGAGAGTCTGCAGGAGGCGTGGCTCGGGGAGGCGCTGCGGCAGAAGGCGCCGCGGGTGGTGGAGTGGGTGCGGCGCATGCAGCGCGAGGCCGGGCTGGCCAGCCTACCGTGGCGGAAGCCCGAGCGACCCCGCTGGGTCACGGTGGGCAACACCCTGTGGAACACGGTGGCGGACGCGACGCCCATCTGGCGGGATATCCGCGCCAACACCCGCATGCGCGAGATCGCGCACTCCCAGGAGGCGGATCTGTCCGGGGAGGAGCGCACCGCGTTGGCCGAGTATGTCACGGGGTATAAGAAGGATGTCTGGTTGTCGGTGGCGGTGGTCGTGGGCGGGGTCGCGGCGCTGGTGGGTTATATGGCGCATGTGGGGTTGTTGGGCGGTGGGGAAGGGGATGAGGAATTTGAGGAGGAGGACGAAGACGAGGAGGTGGAGGTGGTGCAGCCTGAGTTGCCGGTGAGTCTGAATGCGACGGACTTCTTGGGGTCGTTGTCGTTTTAGTTAGGGGTGGGTTGTGCTGTGTACATGTACGATAGTTTGGTTGGTCGATCTAGAATTGAATCGAGTCACCGTTCGAGTGGATGTTTATGATGTCTGGTTCTTGTACGAGACACGGCTTCTCCAGGTAAAGGGTGCACTTGCACTGCCTGTACAGCCTGCAGTGCGTAGAGTTATGCCGCATTTGGACAGACCACCACTGCCATCAGTCCAGCTCTGATCTATAGGCTTGCTAGTATGGATCTAGCATGGATACCATCCAACGGACCGATCCAATGCTCATAGCGAGCACACTCCGTATCAGCCACGAAGTACATGACTGTAACTCGCAAGCCATCGATATACTGCATGGCCCCGCTGATAAACCTTCTTATCCACCACCTCTCCTTCTCTGTTCCATCTAGCACGGGGATATAGATACATCGAGATCATCCCAATGCAGTAGCAGACTAGAACCCAATACCCCCGGTAGAGTCAGACCCCACCGCCCCCGAGTATCCAAACGTGTATCTTCATCTCCAGCATACCCAAATCTGAACAGAACCATACATCCACAACCCCAACTCATAGGAAGTAGTAGTAATACAGGGCACCAAGGAAGCACCTCCCTATCACACCATCAACCACAGTAAACGCAACTGTACAGTACAAATCCACCCCTCCCCTCACCCCTCTCCCCACACCATATACCATATACCCGCCCCATCCCCTCAATCAACAAAGAAACCCAAACCCAGCCCGCATCCCCCTCAAGAAAACCCACTCACCAACTCCGCCACCACGCGCACCGTCTCGGCAATGCGCTCCTCCCCCACAAACGGCGCACAATGACCACACTCGATCTCGCGGACGACCCACTCCCGCCCCGTCGCCGCCATCATCGCATACTGCGCCTCGCGGGGCACGGCGCGATCCGCGGCCGTCACCACAAACGCCAACCCGGTCGTCTGTGTCTGTGTCTGTGTCTCTGCCTCCGCCTCTACCTCCGCCCACGCCGGCGCCGGCTGCGGGGAGGTAAACGCCCGCGTCGCGTGCGGCCGGAGATACGTCTCGAGAGCTGCCTCCGGAGAATTCCCCCGGGCCTCAGGCAGGAAATTTCCCACCGGGTCGTCGGGGTAGTTGAGTTGCGGGGCGGGCTGGGTTCTCCGCCGTGAGGGTGTTAGCCACTTTCCCTGATAAACCCTCTCCATCCGGTATAATAGTTTCAGGGTTGGCTGGGGCTGGGACTGGGACTGGGGCTGGGACCGTTGCCGGGGCTAGGGTTTACGCACCGTATCCAACAGAATCCACGGGGGCAGCGCACCGCCCTGCAACCCGGCACAGCTCACCCCCTCGGGCACGAGGAACGCCGCCACGAAGATCATGCCCACCACGCCGCCGGGCTTTCCGGCCCGGTGGCGCGCGGCTTTGCTCAGGCCGGACGCCGCGGCCGCGCCCGGCATCCCGGCGTAGGAGTGCATCATGAGGATGACCTCGCGGGCTTGGGATTCGATGAGCGTGAGGAGGCGGGTGCGGATGGCGGTTGTGTCGGTTTGGACGTCGGCGGTTGCTGTTGCTGTTGCTGGGTCCCTCGGGTTGGGGTTGGGGTTCGGGTTGGGGTCCAGGGACGGGTAGGGGATGTGCTCGACGGGGAGGGCGGTGGTTTCGGTCAGGGTGGAGAGGAAGGGTTCGTAGAAGGCTGGGGTGAGCCAGGCGCCGGGGATGAAGGCTATTATTGGGGACATTTTTGGGGGGGGGTTTGGGTGTGGATGTTTTGGGTGTTATGTCTGGTCTGGTCTGGCTATTGTGGTGAGGGATTGGGGACTGCAGTGGGATGCTGCTTTTTCCAAGGTGGGAGGGGGGCTGGTGGGAGTATGATATGTGAGGGTTGGGGAAGGGGGGGTAACTGTACTGTACTCGGTGAGTATGATAAGAGGGATGCGGGGTCTTGGAAAAGGTGAATTGGGCGTGGTCGATGGTTTATGTATGTGATACTGGTAGCGTAGTGGAGTGTGGATGGGGCTGTAGGCCCTATTCTAGTGCTAACTACCCCCTCGCTCTCTAGGTGCAGCCTATGATCATGATATCGGTAGCTTGGGGATGATGTAAAGTAGGTAGTTAGCTGAGATGGTCTAAATTCGACCCCCGCAGCTTAGCTTCAATCCTAGTCTGGTTGAGTTTTACGCTTCGGGAATCGTGCTTACGGCGCCGGCCATGACTGCTGAGCTCTCCTGCCAATGGTAGAGGTTTATCTATTGTGCGTGGGGGAGCTTGAGGGTTGTTTGGTTAAAGGAGTGGTCTACTTGAGATGCAGTGTGGAAGGGGGTTTGGGGAGAGAGAGAGAAAGAGGCGGAGGGTTCATTTAAATACCCGAATCAGTTACTTAGCGACTAGTATGAAAACACCCATCTTTGCAGAGTAAGTTCATATTGTAGAAAGTAGTACAATACAGTAATAACAACCCGAAATCAGCATATGATACAGATCCATCCCCTTATCGAAACAGAGTCCAGTGACCAGCTAAATAGCGATTGACAGCATCCCGTCATGTCAGACAGAACAGGTATAGTACATCGTAGGGTAGGTTGTGTTGGTTGTATGCGACCAGCGCTGTTGTTGTTGTTGTTGTTGCTGCTGCACCTCGACAATCGCAGACTGTCATGAGTACTGCATGCAGCAGGCAGTTGCGGCATTCGTGCTTCCGCGTAGGCGAAATGCAGAAGCGAGCAAATAAAGGAGTGACATGACATGACATGATGCGGCGTGAGATGGCATAATCGGAACACAACTCCCCAAAGTCCGGTAGGAAACACCTAACACCAAAACTAGCAAAAAGGGCAGCGGAAAGAAATCAAGAACAAGATGTCGAGGTAGCCAGAAGCACAGAGCCTAGGAAAGATAGCCCTAGTTCTGGTTGCTGACAGACAAGGGTCGCACCCGGGCAACCCCCTCGCAAGCGATGTATCCGAGCAAAACACCAAAACCCGAGATATGGCACAAGTGATGTACAGTACAGCAAAAGAAATAATGAAACATGCAGGCGATTATCCGGAACAACAATTCCAATGTGGACGGACGGCATGGACAGCGGAGAACGAAGGCGACAGACACAATGCACCATGGTCAAGGGGGCAGGTGCACAGTTGCGGTGACGGAGAGTCCAGAATGGCGAGAGTAAGCATCATCGGTCGGTCGAGAACGAAACAGACGCCGTCGATCGGTCCGCCTCACTTTGTGGGAGATTGAAGCCGCGCGGATAACCCGCGGTCCCGGCGACAAATTGCCCCAAGCCGAACCCTCCAGCAAGCGAACTGCCCAGCAGTGCTTCGGAGGAGGCTGTTCTTTGTCCCGAGGTACCCAAGACGATACTTTCACTTCCACCGTTGCTTATCCCAGTCGGAAGGTCTCGTCTCATCGTAGATTTGTCCTCCCTGGTTGTGAATGATGACGGGAGCTTGTGTTCGACGGGGACCAGCATGCGAGCCTAATTCGGGGGCTTGGTGGTTAGTTCTCGATGCAAGAAGAGCAACGGAGATAAGATCTAGACATACCTCGCATGTCCGTCACCACAACACCGTTCCCGCTGCTGCCACTGCTGGACAGAGAGGAGGTCGAGTCGCTGACTTTGTGAGGCATCTTGTTGGAATTGGAATTGTACACGAGATTGAATTTGGGGGAAGTAGATGAAGTGATTGGAGTGGATAGTATGAGAAGTGGCGGATTCAAGTGGAAGTACTGGGAAATATATGTACGCTGGTTGATCTGTGGCTGAGCAAGGCACAATAACCAGGAGAACGATGAGGCGCACGCAGGTAGGGAGATCACAAGGTAGTGAAGGATGAGAGATAGAGCGAAGAGAAACTCAGAAGTGATGTAGTTTGCTGTAGATGTGGTGTAGTGTAGTGAATAGCTGTAGTAGTTGGTTGAAAAAACAAGACGGATGAAAGGCAGGACAATGGGGGCCTTTTGTATGTTTCCCTCCCCACGGTAGCAGAAGAAGTATAAGTGATCGGGAAATAGACAGAAACCAATCTGGACTGGGGGCCTGGAGCAATGCCAAAAACGGATCCCAATCGAATCTCGAATCGTTTCCCCCGGGTTTTACGAACCCAGGAAGAAAGGGCAGCAGATCGGTCATCTTGCAGAGCGACTAGTAGGAAGAAGCTCCGGGGCCGCCTGGCCTGCTCCATCGCCCATCATCCTCCATCCATGCTGTATGCACTGTATCTACGCTTTACGAAGCATCGTCGATCCCCAGTTCCCAATCCAGACGTCATGACCCGAAACCAACCAACAGAGAATCGGATGTCTGGAATCCCCATCGAAGCGTCCAGGCTCCACCGTGCTGCCTGCCCAGGCTGCCAGGGGCAAACCGAGCCCGAATGGGGACGAGGCAGCAAACCGGATGATTCGTCACTTGAAGCACCCGGCGAAAGGGCGGTTTCAGGGACCGACCCATTGGGTTCGACAGCTAACCTAAGCATAGCCCAGGAGGTGAGTGTGAGTAAGGGTAAATGAGAGTGAGCCTTATTGCCCGGGCACCAGCCACACTTGTGTTAGACAGGAGTCCTGAGCACCGCCTGATTCTGAGTTGTACCCCCTTTTGCTACCCAGTGCCAGTGCCTGGGCATAGGGACGATGCTGTGGCGCGGATGGAGGCTGAGACAGTCTGCTGTCCAACAGATAACGTTACTGTGTGAACTGGGTCCACGGTGTGGTGCTGGTCTGGCCTTACCTGTCGTGGTCACGGGAGGGCGACCAACCCCAGCAGATGACCGTATAGAACAGACAGAAAGACAATATGATTGGTGCTAGCGACGTTTTCAAGCGGTCAATTACAGCTCATAACAGCTACTCTCTCGGTCACATGATCGAAGAAACAGTCGCAGAGCAACTGGCCGTTTAGTCAGACTCCCACCGACCAAAATAGTAACACCGCCTTCCGGATACCTACCTACCTACCTACCTACCTACCTACCTACCTGCCCAGTGGTCTGGCCAGCTTCACATCGCATCATCAGAATCCTCATCATGATTATCCCCATCTCCACGGCTGATGCTACCCAGCTACCTGAGTGACGGTGAGGGGATCGTCGTCCCCTCCCATCTCCCAGACAAATGACAATAGTGATGCTGTTCTCATACAATTTCCGCGGGCCTTTTCACCCGGATACCTCAACCAGGTCTGGCAGCCGTGCGCCCATTCTAGCTTTCCATAGTTTGCGCGATTATCACCTACTTCGTACTCATAGTTTCGGAGTCCAAGCTACTATCTGATTATTCGGTCATCTTCCCAAACGGGCTACATCGCTGGTGGCCATACTCTGCAATACTGGAAAGGACCACTGGAAAGGTCCGGTGCAAACCGAACGTTAATGCTACTTCTCCAACGGGCTGGCCGTTTCTGCGGTGTAGCGTGCAATGTATGTACAGTACTTGTACCACCTTACCTTGCAGTCACTAGAAATTGAATACTTAGCGCTATCATACAATAGAACCAAAATCCGGACGATAGTTAGCCACCGGCACGGGAAGACATACACATGGGTTAGACCAGCTAGCTACTAGGTAGCTAGCTCAGTAGCTCAAGCTAGCAAGCTACGCAGCACCTCCCCTCCCCTCCCCGCCCCCATTGCTCTGAAGGTGTACCTAAAATAGGCCCCGAAACCCAACCGGGCCCCCGCCATAGACAACCAGACCTAGACTAAGTGCTGTACTGTACAGTACAGCTTCGCCTAGCTAATACTCTCTGAGCAACGCGAATCATGACGACCCTGGAGCACGTACGGTACTTTGTGTGGTTGGGGATCAAGAAGAGCCCGGGCCTGATTCATACTAGTAGTTGGTTAGTAGCCATGCCTTCTACATAGTAACCAACTACTACTCGATATCAGATGATCCCATGCCCCCATGCCATACCCCCTGGGCCTTCCTCCCCTATGTGACCTCACCGCTATCTTGACGGACGCTAACTTATGCTATGCCCACGCTTTTGTCCGGGACAAGACGGATGTCCTGCCTGCTCGCGCCGGACTTAGAGTCTTGCGCAGTGTACTCCCTAGAGATGAACGTATCTTTGTCCGCGTAAGTTGGGACCAACTAACGAACTACTAAACTACTACCCCGACCCAGGGACGGAACCCTCGACACCGCCAGATGGAAGGGAAAACAGCCCGTGCTCCGGGGCTGGCATATCATTGACCAAGATGGAGGCAGGGACGTGTCACAGCTCCTGATTCTCGCTGTAAGGTAGATGGGTCGGGAAAGAAAGAAAGACAGGTTCCCCCCCTGCGCAACTGCCAACTGTACCTGCGTTCAAGATCGTTTTCCCTTTCCTCCATGAATGGAGACGGACGGGATTATCTAATTCCTGAGTCATCGGGGCCTGCGCGGCCACTTCAGCTCCAGGCTCCGGCCGGGCTAGACTCGAAAGGGGTTGGACTATTTGTGCCCGCGGCGGGGCCGGGGCTAGCATTGCCAGGCGGAGAGTGAGGCTGCACGGTTTGGGTGGACTGGTTGGTTGGCGGGTTCGGTCACGGGTGGTGATGCACTCGAATCATGGATATTGATGATTATGGTGATGACGACGATGCGTATGTATCTACTCCGTAGGTACTGTACGTACCTTTTTTTTTCTTTGTCGAGACAAGGCTTCGGTTAGCGGCATGCTGTCTGGAGGCAGACACTGTGGTGGCCTGGTTAGGCTACCTAGATGCGTTACGGTCATGCTCTTGGGTTCTACTTGTGTGGTCCACGGTGCTGTTTGGGCAGGTACGGAGACTGTTCTTGTGTGCATAAATGCGACAGCGTTGCCGCGTGCTTTGTCATCAATGCACACTGTGCGGTTCCCAGGGGCAAGGCATGTCTCCTACCCAAACAACCTCCTATCCCACCGAGCAAGGCGGTGTTGACACCGAGGTAGATTTATCTGTATGACCCTCTGTTTCATTACAAGTGAGCGGATACCAGGGTGAAAGCCAGTGTCAAGGGGCCATTACTGTGATTGTTGCGAGAACAAAGCCCATGTTTCACCGTATCTCATCTTGAGACGTACGTCTAAGATGCGTAACCTCCAGTGCTTATTGATGAGCCCACTCAGACACCTCCTACTGAGCAACACGGTGGCTTACCAGTTCCAGCTCAGCAAGAACGAAATGAGCTGGGCGGGTAAGCCATCTCTCCTTCCGATGCCTGAATGCCAAAGTTGTTGTTGGAGAGCTTCTTGCCAGGCAAAGACTTCTCATCCATCTTGTCCTTTTTCTCTCGCTTCGACTGCCAATGGCACGGCAACCGAGCTCGCTTTCTCTCTGGTTCTGGGCCTAAACATGCCGTTGGACTAAAAGCCATTTCCCAGCCCGGTTGCAGGCATCCATACTTTACCTGTCTGTTGTATGTCCAAGATCGAGAACGATACGACCGGGTTTGGGGGGCCCTTTTGTATCATGATCATGGTTGCGGATACAATATATATCCCGCATACATGTCTACACGTGCACACGATGGTAAGCATACCCCTCTGGCTATGGCAGGAAGGGGTAAGAGATTACGGTTAAGGTAGTTCTTGCGAGGGCCAGTGGCTTAGATCATTCCCTATGAGAATAGTATGCAATATGACATGAACAAGATAGAGTTAGTTGGTCTAAATCATACTCCACATACAGGCTACAGTCAACAATACAATGACAGCGGACCAAGAACAGATAAACACAATAGAATCAAGAATTGCTCTACACATTTCAATAAAAAAGAAAAGTGAGAGTAATGGAGAAAAAGAAGAAAAAACTTGATTTATGAACTGTTTCTGCGCCGGAACCTATAAACACTGCCTCACTCACACTCTCTTTCAAACCCCTGTCTCTTCCTAATCATATCCAACCTCACTCCGGCAAACACCCTCTCACTCATAATCCCTCAGGTACCGACCGGGCAAATCCACATCCCACATCGGTCGCTCCACTACGGCAACCTCAAGGAACCCTTCTCCCGCATCCTCGTTCTCTTCTTCTTCCGATGACGACGATAGCGCATCCCCGCTACCAGCGTGGTAGGTACTACCGCTCCCCAGGGGCACGATACCCAACAGATCACGGTACTTGTAGGTATGCCACCAGCGACGCGCGGGGAGGGTCTTACTGATAGCGGACCCGTCCTCTGCGCTGCCGGAAGCCAGGACGATCTGCTTGCTCGGGGCGGAGGGCGAGCCGACGACGTCGTGGGCCGCGTTGGCGGCCAGCAGCTTGTCCTGTCGACCGCCGAGCGAGACGCGCTTCATCGGGGTGCTGGTCTCGATGGCCTGGCGCTCGCGACGGAGTCGCGCCAAGGCGACCTCGTTCCGGGCAGTGCGCTCCTCTTCGTCTTCTTCGTCCTCGTCCTCGTCCTCGTTGTTGTGGCCACGCGGCCGGGATGCTACCCTTTCTAGAGAGATCTCCTCGGCGTTGTTGTCATCATTACCAACGATCTTGCGCATCTTGGTGCCGAAGAAGATGTCGGATTGGGCGAGGGACATGCGGTCTCCGGCACCGCTGTTGGGTTTCTTGGTGGTGCGGGCGGCGGTCGAGTCATCCTCGGTGGGGTCGCGTTTGCGTTTTTGGTTGTTATTGTTGTTGGCTGTGGTGAGTTGGGTATTTTGGTTCTTAGTGTTGTCCTTGTTCGGGGTGGAGGTCGTGTTGTTGGTGGAGGTGTTGGTGATGGCAGGGATGTCGGCGGCGGCGGTGAGTTCCTCGGGAGAAGGGAAGTCCTGGTTGAGATCGAACATCCACAGCCAGGAGGTGCCGTAGAGCCAGAGCCGTTCCCGGGTCTTGGACAGATCCCACACGCAGCCCATGGCGCGGTCCTTGACGCCCCGGAACTCGGCGGGGAGGAAGGCCTTGGGGTTGCGGCGCGACCAGTCGGAGAGTTTGCCCTCCGCGGCGTCGAACTCGACGAGCTGGTGTTCGCTCGTCAGAGCCATGAGCCGGGTTTCGCTGCTGCCGCTCTTCGTCTTGTTATCGGCGTCGCCGTTGGTCAGAAGCTTGGTCTTAGCGAGGTTGGCCGGTCGGAAGGAGAGGAGAACAACGCCCGATTTGAGACGCGGGATCGGTGACTCGGCGGCCGCATACTTCCACCGCTCGCCTTCGATGACGGGCGATTCGTCTTCGTCGTCCGAATCCTCGTCGTCGGATCCAGCGCTAGGCTTCTTCGAGGCCGCCTCGTCAGCTTGCTCCAGCACCCAGGTGTCGACACAGCCAGAAAGATCGCCCGAGGCGACAACGTTGCTATCGTGGGAGAACACAACGCAGCGGACCGTTCGCTCGTATTCACCGAGGGTGCCGTGGGAGGCTTTCTCAAAGCGAAGGTGGCGCGAAGCCCGGTTGAGCTTGACAAGCTGGGGCAGGATCTGGGGCTTTTCTTGGGCGGTAGGAGCGGGTTGGATTCGGGCAAGGTAGAGAGCGCTGTTGGGGCGAACGACACAGAGCCACCGGCTGTCGGGAGACACGGTCACCACGCGGGCTCCATCCTCTGCGAGCACTTGGGGCACATCCAACTTCTGGACTCGGAGAGTGCCCTTCTCGTCACCCTTGCGGCGACGCACGGCGAAGACCTTGATAGTAGAAATGGTGGCGACAACCAGAATCTTTCCATCCGCGGATAGCATAGCCGAGGTGATGTTCTCTTCGCCCTGCCATGCTGTTAGACACATAAAACCAGAAGGCTTGGACAGAGAGTCTTCGTTCGTACCTGAATCAAAACCTTGCCAACCAAGCGATGCCGTTGTCCGTCAGGGATCTCATGCGACACGGGGCCACGCAGCATGCGCCAGATGCTGACCTCGCGATCCCAGAAGCTCATGACCAGTCGGGACGAAGGCGACGAAGCAAGCTGGGGTATTTGAGGCAAGCTGGACAGCTTTCTGTGATGTTCCTTGCCGAACTCGCGCAGTGGAAGGACAACGGGGGTAGCGTCGGGTCCTGTTGCTCAATATCAGCCAACCGAGATACATAGTGAACAGAACGATGGATGGGGACAAAGCCTACCTCCAGACACGACGATACTGATATCTCTCGTCTCGTAGACAGCAAAGGTCTTGACATCATGCGTATGGTAGCGACGGTGCATGACCTCCACCCAGCGAGCCCTCTTGTCGTTCTTCTCCCCATCCTTCTTCCGGTAGACGACCGTCCGCTGGTCGGCACCACCACTGACAACAGTATCTCCATTCGCGCTCACTGCGACATCCAACGTATCCGCCAGATGACCTTGTATCCGCTGGATAAGGGCGTAGTTCTTGGCATCCCAGAAGCGGATCTCACCCGCCGAATCGCCCGACACAATCGTCCCATCCGGGAGACACTTGACAGACCAGACGAGCAGCTCCTTCGTCCCGCCGGCGGGCCCCTTACCGAGCGAGATCGTGCGCAGCAGCTGGCCATTGCGAATATCAAACAGGCGGATCGAGCTGTCCGCATACCCGGCCACGATTGTGTTCCGGTTCTGGAAGGTGACGCTGAGCACGCGCGACCGCTTGGTCGACGGGCGCATCAGCCGCAAGAACTGGAGCTCCCCATCAGCGGTGGACAGGATCACGATCGACCCGTCCGCGCAGCCGGCCGCCAGGTGCTGGCCCGTATACTCGCCTTCGGCGGGGCCGCTGGCCGCTCCCTTCCGCGACGAGGCCTGCCAGCGCGGCTGCGCCGCCAGACACCAGATCTCGCCGTAGTTGCCGCTCGAGTGGCGCAGCGGCCGCCCTTGCTCCAGATCCCACTCCGTCACCGCGGTCGAGTACCCGATGCTGAACAGGCGCAGCTTGCCCGGCAGCTTGGTGCCCTCCGGCCCGGGCTCCTGGGGGTCCTGCGTCCACACCAGGCCCTCGATGCTCCGGTCCTTGCCGCCCCGCAGCACCGTCTCCTGGAACCAGGCGCCGCGCAGCGGGTTCCAGATCTCGATGTCACCGTTGGCGCGTCCGATCGCCAGTCGCAGCGTCGGCACACCCCGGCCGGCGAGTTCGGCGGAAGGAGGGTGCGAGAAGGCGAGCGCATTGATCGCTTGCGGATTGTAGGGGACGAAACGACAGCGGTGGATATCCATGGTTGCGATTTCTTCTTGTTTCCCGGAAGTCTCTTCAAGGGTCGGTCTTTCCTTGCGGTATTTGGGGAAGGTCTCGTTCTCAGTATGCGTGTTATTTCCTTCGCGATTCGTATAAAGCCTGCGACGCGGCGTTTCTTTCGTGTCTCAATTTCCGATCAAATTGGGGGGGGTCGCCGCAGGATTTTGAGGAAGACGGAGGATTTCCTTTTCTCTCGTTGATGATATACAAAACGAAATATGCCCGGCTCAACTTGTAGAGCCCGACCGCTTAAGCAATCATTTCCAAAAGTGGACCGTATGGGATTTCTGATTGAAAGGTGGAGGTGAGGTTGACGAGCCGGAGTCGAGACTTTTTTTTCGCTGGCGGCCCTTTGGGGAAATTTTTGGGATATGATTTTTAGCGCGGCCAGCGGAGGTTCCACCGGCGCCTTTGGGTCACGTGCATCGCTCGCGGTGCCGGAGCTGGGGCACGGTCACTAGCGCCCAGGTACAATAATTCAGGGGGGATAATAGGAGAATGAGACTTGCTGAATGATAAGTGAGCTTGGGGTGCTGTCTATGTGAGATTTAGGCGATGAAGCTTGCTTGTGTCGTGGTGGATATGTGTGGATATGTTGTGGTGAAGGTAACCGCTATAGACATATTGGAATGAGGTAGTTAGACCACTGATGCATCTGGCATTCAGACGAGTAGTGAAACTACTATGAGGCATATTCAAGCTCCATTCTGAGCCAGCATAGTAATTCTGCTGGTCACCCATCGATGTATATAATTCTACATATTTTTGTAGACGGTAGTGGAGGTCCCGTGCTCGAACCAGCAGGTAAAAGCTTGCTTGTCCGTTTGACTGAAGCGCTTGACACTACGTATCGAGATACAGTTGAACTTGGTACTTCCACTATAGAACTCGTCGGGTATTTTAAATCAAAGTATGCTTGCCAGATCAAGAAGATGTCGTCGACACGTTGACTGCCCTCACCTTGCTCCATACAAAAAGGCTACGCAGGATATCAATAGCTTCACACCTTGTCCAAGTGAGCGTCATGGCAGCAGGCTCCAAAGGGACAATGCAGTCGAGAGCACCTAGTCTGCTGCTGTGGATCATGGCAAGGCCTGGACCCATGCTCACCCGCCCATGCACACGGAATGATGACAAGCATGTATGTCGTCGGAACAAATCAATTGTGGCGGAGGCTTTACAGCAACTTAGTGTCTGCCAGCAGGGTCTGAAATGAACACATAGACAGCCATTGAGGCTGCACGGGGACGTGGGAGCCATCGAAAGCCGTATCTCTCTCGGGCTAGGAGAATCGACATGGACCGCTCGACATCGATAGGTCCATTCGAGATCGAAGGGCATGCCACGTCAGAGCGAGAATCCGCAGAACGCAATTTGCAGGCACTGGGCTATCGAATGGGGGTGGCAAATGCGTTTAGCATCGCAGACTGACAGCACCTGTCCACCAAGCCAGGCCAGGGGGAAGGGGATGGGGGCGAAAAGGCATCCAAGGCTTATGCACGATGAAAGTGTAGTTAGATGTTTGGAGGTCGGAGAGAGGAGTTGGGAAGTGTCACCACCTAGCATCCGTCTCCTTCAACCCGCCGTGGATGAGAAAAGGGGGGAGGAGGGGAAAGACGCAGGTAATGAGAGGCAGCTTGGAAGGGATTACATGCTAAACAGCCATGATCCCTGTAGTCTGACGCCGTCAGCAGCAAGGCACAATGATGATGGTGGGCCTAACTCAATGACCCCGGTGAATTTCTCTTGAATGTTCAGCTGAAGGGTGATTATTAGCGGATGGAATGGCTACGACTAGTCCACGGTAATCTAGGGTTCTGCTCCTTCTGAGCCAACCCTTCATCTGATTCGATCTGCGGCAATGCGGGGTATTCAGTCCGATGAACACGATCATGGATCCAGACATGATTTGCCGCTGTCGGACTTGCCCAAGCAGGAGCCCGAGCCGCACCACCACCACCACCACTCCTTCTTTGAAGACAATGTTGTAAAACCTACCGTCAGTCAACTGAAGACAGTATACACATCACGGCTCATTGATCCTACCGATCCACGCTCTCTCCCCCTTGAGTCCCATGGCCCAGAAGAATCGTGGCTCGAAGTGAACCTTAAATGCCAGACAAAGATAGGATAATTTCCCGAGCCGCAAAAGCATCTCAAACATACCTAGTACTTGCTTACCTATAGCTCCGCGAGGTAAAACCCCAGATTCATTGGCTGACAAGCGATCTGCTAAGATTCTCGGACCACCATCCAGTACGACCAGACAAGGCAGAAGGGAAGGAACAAGCGACATACGCCAGTCCTTCTGGTCCTCTTTCAGAAGGCTTAATCCGTTTCACCACCGTTGCATCGACTGCAGCTTGCAGACCCGGAACATGATACCATTCCTAGGGCAGGTATCATGTAAGTTTGCTGATTTGACAAGGCATTTATGCTTCAAATTCGCGCATATTGTAATTCAGATGCGCGACCATGACCATGGCACTAGACGCGCGATCCCAGTCGACCTCCCCTAGATGTGATCATTAATACTAACTTAGTATCCTGATAGCACGGAGTCGTCGCAATGTATCCTGGCGACTGAAATAGAGTGGTTGACAAGGGTCCATGCAGCGATCGCAATCTCCAACCACTGGGCCAGGGAGTTGCTTTCAGGATTGTGGCATAGGCAATCCATCCATTAAGCCATCCGCGATCGCTCTAGGGGCCAGGCCGCTAGAACCGACGTGATCATAGTAGTGCCCGTTATCGCACGGCGGACAGGCATCAGTCATTCCTCGATCGGGAAGGTGACTTAAGAGGCCCCCGAGGAGCGGGGACCGGCTCCATAAATGGCAGCTGATCAAACCTAGTAAGTAAGTACAGTACCTCAAGATTGAGAATTAGAAGCACGGTTTGCGCAATAATTCCAAGCCCCAGTAAGTTCTTAGTCCTTGTAATCGGTGCAACCCTCAATGATAACAAAGCAAGCGGAATAGAAGCAGTTGCCGGGTTCCAAGGATCCGTAAGTGGCACAGGTCTTAGCCAAGCGAAATATCACAGCACCAAAGGATATAGTGTGAGTCGTGGACCGTGAATTGGTGTTGTCTTCCCGGACTAGTGGTAACTTGCAAGGCACGGGAAGGCGGGACGCAGATACAAGGCTTCTTCTGGGGTGGTGTCTGGGCCAGGTTTATCCGGGAGAACCACCAAGGAATAGTCATGCCGCGAAGGGGGAAGAACTGGAACTGGGACTGGAACACGCCAAATTGGCAATAAACGCGAGAGAACGCGATCACCGAATCATGGCGCGTACAAGGGCCTGCACAGCATCTGCGCCAAGCACCACGGATAAGACTTTCACGATTTATGTCATCTCGAAAGCCCCTTAACTTTGTTTTTAGACGTCTCGGGGAGAGATGGTCGCACGACCGCTGGTCCGGAGGGAGGAATTGGCTGTTGATTACTCAACCGGTCGATGGAACAGGGCAGACATAGCTTGAAGCTGAGGAAACGTGGCGTGTCTGCCTTGCGCAGGTCCAGTTAGTCAGGAGATTAATCAATCAATGGTCTCTTCCTAGGGGGAGATTGAAGGAGAAGGAGGATACAGTATAGGGAAAAGCGTTCATCGTTACCAATGTCATAGAACCACAATTATGGGAATAAGACCCCCTTTAGGGAGTTATGTTGAAAATAAAACACATCGCTCGCAGCCACCAATAACAATCTCCTTTCAATGGCTCATAAACTCCGGACATCAGGCCGGGGCCCCGAAACGTGGGACGCGAGTCAATCAATGACGACATTCGCCTTGGAAGAAGGAAATACGTACTTAACAGAAACGCGTGGCCAAGTATCGATGGTCATTTCCCGTCTCAACTCCACGCGTCTGGGATCTGAGTTTTGTGGGTGTGGGAGGAGGCGGGTACAGGGAGGCATAGAGAAAACAAAATTCGAGTTTTTACAAGTCTGCAATAAAAATTTGAAGCCATGCGCAGCTATCAATAAGATGATATCAATTGAACCATCCCACCATTCACCGGTCAGTGACTTGACTTCACTTGCCCTTGCTTCATTGCCATTCATTGGCAGAGAGGCCTCCCGTGACCGCTGAATAATACTACCACTACTAACTAAGTAGTCAGCTAATTTAGAGCATTTCGGCTTGGGGTTAAATGTGGAGTCGTTTATTTACACTACTATCGGGCCCACTCTTCCCATCCTGCGCTAAGCCCCATCGCATCTAGAGCCGGTGTCTGTCTTGTCTTGTATCTTTGATCGTTCACCCGTACAGTATGTACCATTTGCCCCGTTGTGCTCGGTATGTAATTGCGACGGGCCCTTACAATGTAATCTGTCTTCGGGTCACATTTGATACCGTTCAGATCTGACAGAAATACCACCGCCTGAGACCCATCCATCCCCGACTGGCTGTCAACCGAACAAGACTAGTACCTAGGTAAGAACGAGAGTCACAAAAGAGCAGGGCCAATCTGCCCATGGTTGAGGCTCTCCGCTGCTTCGGTCGCCGCGAACCAACCTAACCAGAAATAGTTATATTGTCTCGGGCCTCGATGGGCGTTTGTAGGATTTCGCGTCACCGGTTGCCCGGGGATTTCATCCAAATTAGCCAGATCTCGATTCGTCAATCTGATCAATGGCTCCATGGTAAACGTGGATATCACTTCCACCTGTGAGGATTAAGTACAGTGCTCAGTACATACTACAGGACCTCAGGCAATTCATCCTTGCCATGTCTAAATCATATGTTTGCGTTGTGTGCAGTCAATCGTTACCTTTCTCGCACCCCCATGATGTTGGAGGCAAAGAAGAAGTGGACTCTATGACGAAATCAAGACGCCAAACGAATGAAGCCCAGCAAAGAGAAAACATCGGACAATCCCATGTTTCGTCCACCACCACAAACTGTATACCGACTTAAGGAATAATTAGGTAAAATCGGCCGGCCGGGTGGATCGTTAAGCGAGTGACGGTCCCATAGTACTGGTACGAAGTCAATTGAGGCAAAGTAAGGGCTCAATCGGATGTGATAGATACACCGAAAAGAACGATGAATAGACTACACAGTAAACTCGTTCACTGCGAACATGTGCTCATTCAGCTAATTCGCAAAGGAAATACTCGTCACACCCCTCCCGCCTGGGTAAGAGTTGATAGTAGTCTTTTAAGTCCATCACAGACCCTCCGTTGAGCCATCGAACAACCAGAGGACTATCAAGATCGACCAGAGGTTATGTATCAAATCATGTCGACAGCGCAATCCAATGTGATACAGACTAGCCCGCGGTTGCTATACATCGAAAATTG